CTGGCATAACTTGTTTTTGATAAATCCATGTTGACTGTTAGTGAAGACCACATTCATTTCTAAGTGTTTGCAGACCACTTCCTTAATGATCTTTTCCAGAATCTTGCCTGGTATTGACATGAGGCTGACCAGATGGTAATTGTTTGGGTTGTTTCCCCCCCCCCCCTTCTTGAAGACAGGAACAATATTTACCCTCCTTCAATCTGCTGGGACTTGTCCTGTTCTGCAAAACAGTTCCAACTTCCATGGCCAGCACTCAAGAGTTACTGGAGGTTGCAGTTAAAAAATCCAGAGCAAGAAGCACCACTTTCCGTGAGGTTAATACATCATTAATATTCAATTTGTATAATGGTAGGTATTTTTAATAGCTTGGAATTAATGAATAGATATATAAATACATTGATTTGATCAGAAAAATCTTGGTTTTCCCCTAAAACCTCTGTAAACCACCCATAATTTTAGGAGACATTGGCATCACTTCTTGACATTTATACAGTTCTTTCAAGTTGCAGAGCTTGGCATTTGGCAAGGCCTCCAAACAGATGGGCTTAAGCTAATGCCTTTTGCAAGGTATCGGAAATCAGAACCTAGTGGAACATGCAACTGCCATGTTTAATTACTTTCGATTAATGGGGACTTTTTGCAAGATGCTGCTCATAATGCTAAAAATCAAAGCCATTTCTAGAAAAGTGCCAAGTTTTGCAACACAGTTCCTTCCAAAATGACAAGTGACAGCTAATTCTGCTTTTTGGCTCCGTCCAAAGATTAATCTTTCATCTACAGCTGGGTCTTCCCATGTTTGACCAACTGGATAGAAATATTTTTGCTACATCACCTGCTGCAATTTTATACAAGCTGTATTCCCATGTCCACATATCCATGTGGCTACTGCAGTTATTAAATAGTCCCCACCCCCAAACCATCTGAAAAAAAACCCCCAAAAACATTAAGAGTGGAATGGGGGGAGAAGGGGATAAAATCTCAAGGGCACAAAGGAAATGTTTTATTAACCTAATAGGTTTCAAAGCACAGTTCTTCAGAACATTATAGATAATACAAAATGAATATTTTATACAATATATGTAAATGATTCTGCAACACATTCACAGTGAAATATATTGATCATGGACAAAGGAAAAAGACAAATACCTTACAATAGGTTTTGTAGATATCAAATGTAAAGAGAATTAATGTATTCCACCGCCTCCCAAAACCTTCAGTCCATATAAAAGCTTAACAATATGGAAATTTAAAACCTGCATAATGCCAATGGGATAGAACACTGAACTTTGAAAACACACCATATGTTCTTCATATGCATCCAAAGATCTGGCTACAATAAGATAATTATTACAAAATTATTAAAATATTTCTACAAAATTATTAAAATAGTTCTACTCCACTCTACATCAAAAGATCACAGGGAAACTTACAAGTAAAATCAATACTGATAGATTTTAACAGTTTAAAATAACAATTTAAATTAAAACATATTAACATATTTAACAAGTTAAATAAATTATAAGATTAAAATAATGGGTAATGTCCATGCCTTTCATTTGACAGCGAAGATCATATACACTGCAACTAAGGACTAGTGTTAGTGGATTAGCCTTTGGTTGTATTTTCAGATCTGATTTTAAACAAAAATTATGACTGACCCATCCAATATACATCTCCAAAAAATAAATGACATTGAAAATACAAAGTTATCCAGTGCACCTGTATGAACTAAATCCAGAAATGTGCATGGTGAATGATTTTAAAGCAATAGTAGAAAATTCAGATCTTCAAATGAGTAAATGCCATGTAAAGATCTAATGCAATGGTCTTCTCAAATTTATAGGTTTTTTTCCAAGCCAAAATGAGATTTTGAAGCTTGAATTCCTATAGGAAGTGCACCTGATTTTCAGCTAAAGATTTGTAGCAGGAAACCAGTGGAAGCGAGCAAGCAGTGTCAGTGTTAGATCGTCCCTCTCCCTCCTGTCCTTTAGAAGGATGGTAAGAACTTGGCTGTGAGACCAAGCTTTTGGGACAGTGCAATAAAGGAGCGATAGGAAACTTTACCAGGCCAATTTAGATTTGATGCAGATGACTAAGGCGGATTTAAATGGAGTATTTTAATATTGTGATAAATGTTTTTAATGTTTATGTATGCTTATATGAATTCTTGTCCCGGCATTGAATATTTGCTGTGTATATGCCATGCTCTGCCCTGAGTCCCCTTCGGGGTGAGAAAGGCGGAATATAAATGTTTTAAACAAATAAATAAATAAATAAATAAGCTCATCGACTGGTGTTGTTGTGGTGAAGGTTAGAGATGAGCATCCTCACTTTGTTTCCCAGCAAGTGTAAGGTTTGCACTGTAATACACTACCTAAATGCTAAGGGCATGAATGCCTCTGCGATTCATCACATGAAAAAAATGTGGTGTTAGTGTTTTGGGACAGAATGGTTCTGCCCATTGATTTTTTTGGAAAGAGGTGAAACAATCAATGCTGCAAGATATTGTGAGACCACGAAGAAACTTCGAAGAGCCATCTAAAACAAAAGTTGTGGGTTGCCGATAATGGGAGTCTCTCTCCTTCATGACAATGCACGACCACAGACTATTCATACAACACAAGAGTTGTTGACTTCAGTTGGTTGGGATGTTTTAAGCCACCCCTCTCACACCCCCAAACTTGCACCCAGCGACTATCATCTGTTTACTAAACTGAAGGAACATCTGGATAGAAAACACTTTTCCAACGATGACAAGGTGAAAATCAAAGTGATGAACTGGCTGAAAAAGGTGGCAGGAGACTTCTATGACACAGGCATCAAAAAACTCATAGCACAGATGACAAAATGTATTGAACTGAATAATGATTATGTGAAAAAATAATGTAATACCTATGCTATAATCCATGTAAGTTTTATTCAAATATATTCATTCTTTGTATTTTTTAAAAAATCTTGTAACTTTACTTTCTGAATATCCCTCATACTTTTCATAGCATTATATAAAATATTCATTGTTCTTTTCAGTGAATGACAAAATGCACTTCAACACATATTGAGACAGTACAACCTATGTCTTGCTATGTTTGAGTGCTCATTTCCTTCCTACCCTGTTTCTCTACATAACCAACACATCTCCCACAAAGCCAAACCACAAGATGTTTGTCAAATTTGTTGGTTGTCCCATGATTCATTGTAAGTATCCAAAAAGGGAAATGTGAATCTGCACAAGACATTTGTTTAGAAATTACTGCAGACACAATCCAACCCAGTTTAACCGCCCTGAATTCTGAGATCAATAATCCATTATCAGTGTTTAATTTTGGCTAAAATAAGTTGTGTAATGCTCATATGTTCTATTGTGTTTAAGGCATCCTACTGACAGAAAAGTCAGTACTATCTAAAGAAAAGACAATCTTGCCTTTTTGCCTAATGCACGGTTTTAATTTGTAAACATGTAGCTGTATAAACAGGAATATATCAAACCTTTCATGCTTCTACAGTCAAGCTCAGTAAGGATTAAGTAGATAGGATATCTTTCATTTTAAATTGAAAGAGGCATCAGTCACACAACTTGATGAGTAGCCTTCATTAAATGGCTGCAAGATGAGCTTCTGTAAAGCACAGGTAAGCCCTTTGCAGGATGCGTCTATCAGGAATTGATCAACGATTGCAGGATGATAATCTTCATAGGAAATAGGTCAGGATGGAAAGCTGAGGTGGGAAACAGATGGAATTCTCAAAGAACAAGCAAAGGCACAAAAAAGCCAATAAAGAGTAGATAGCTGAAAAGATGAGAAAGGGAGTCTAGCATTAGCCATCACTATGCTTCTCTTTGATTTGACAACTTGTCTGGTTTTCTTTTCAGTGAAGTACTCATCTCACAGCTCTCTCTTAAGTTCTCTCTCACACTTTCTGGTTACAGTTCTCCTGCATGTAATATTCCAATTCTAATGGATAAACAAGTCATCAAGCAAGATGCTACATAAATACTGGCTAGTAGACTCCTTTTCTTTTCTTACTGAAGTTCAGAGAAATTTGCATAATCTCTGCCATCATGAAACTTCTAATTTCCAGATCCTTTTTCTTGGAGCCAGTATCCCAGTCCTTGATGGAATTCCTTGCTTCTCCTCATGTCTTTTCCAGAGGCTTTATTTTTTCCAGAGGTTTTAAATGAGCCAGGGAGCTTTCTCTTATCCACAACAGAGTTTAAGGAGCACAAAAGCAAGCAGAACAGCACCATGGGTAAATCTTCCAGGTTTATGTGATGGCACTAACTTGTGATGCATGATATGATGTCATGAATTTTAGTAAGGAGACACTGATGATTTCTGTTTTATTGGTTTTGTGTAGTTTTATATTACATGCTAAATGTTTTAAATTGTATTTTATATTTGTTGGGGCATCGTATTGTTGCCAACTGTAAACTGCCTTGAGTCGCCTTCAGGCTGAGAAAGGCGGTATACAAATATGGTAAATAAATAATAAATAACTAAATTATATTTTTAAGAAGAATACTGTATTTCATAATTCATTATTAGGCACTATCATCTCTCTATATATTGTTAAAGAAATAATATATGCATATAAGCAGTAAGGGTTGTTTTCCATTGACATTTAAAATAATACCTTCAATAGATTCTGGGCATTGTCTACATAATGTAAATGACTTGAATTTTCATGAATCAGAACTTGTAGAAAATGGTCACCGACTCCCTCTATATTGAGGAGGGGGGAAAGGGAACCACATTATTATAAACATTCTAACTATTAAAGCTAAATTCCATATTCAGTATGGGATTTAGCCTTAATAGTTAGAAACTGTTTTACAGATGAAACTCGTAGCTGTTGCTATATTCAACATGGTGAATCAAAAGTGAGTTTGAGCCATGCCTTTTAAGTTTAGAATTCAAGTGCATGCACTGTATATAATTCTGCATTATCTTTTGAAATGATAATTGAACATAATCCCTTTAATTGATGAATAAAACAGCTGCTTCTTTGTGATTGGTATTTTTAACATTTATTTAAAAAAGCAAGATGTATGTTCATTTCAAATGAAACAGTTAAAAATGTTAAAGCATACAAACACAAACTGTGTCCTAGCAGCATCCAATTGTTAGACTTTCTAGAATTCTGCAGTGCCACTTTGGCAAGCTAAAACACACTGTAGCTTGCAATTTATTGTCCTCACCATAGTGCAGATAAAACAAAGGCTTTATAAAATTAACAGGTTAAATAGGCTTAAATAAAGGTGTTAAATACATGTCACTCATTCAAAGCTTCTGTACAAAGATAAACAAATCTGGCATTATACAAATGATTGACTGTCTTGCATTACATATAGTTTGAATAGTTAGTCTATCTGTAACCTTCTTAAACACAAACTATACAAAATTCATTAACACAAGAGTGAACTGATACGTGAACCTGGTACAAGGCATGTATATGTTTTTTTGGGGGATGGGGACAGAAAACTTGTTGAAATTCAGGCACCATTCCCCCCGCAAATAAATAATTCCTAGTATATCTGCATCCAAACTAGTGTTGTTTAACTCATCAGCACTAATTTTATAAACACAGTTTTGTGACTATTCAATTCTACATCCATTCTTATTGCTATGACAATCTGACTGTGGAAATATCTACTGTACATACAAAAAATAGAGCACCTTTAAACATGAAAGTATATGTCTACTTGTTTATTTTTATTTTACAGTACTGAAATCAAATCCAATCTATCATAAATTGATTTAGCATCTTCACTGGAGCACCTGAAGTATAGAAAGTAAAAACAGAACTTATTCTTCTCCAGACCAGTCCAAGCGAGAAGTATACTTTAAAATGTCTAAAATGACACCAGAATCCGTACATTCATTTTCACAAAAACAAATGCCCGCCAACCATTCTCTGTTTAATTCAGATGAATATGAAGATAATTCCTAACAGCTCATAGCCTTGCTCAAAGAAACAGGGCTGGGCAGAGATTAAAGCAGAAATTGTAAAATGGACTGTGAACACAGTGAAATTATATTAGGATAATGCAAAATTACTGGTGTTTTGTGGCTCAAAAGTGCTTTTTTAGGCACTTATATGTTAAGACTTTTTGTCTATTGTATTGAAAAACCATTCTGTAAATTTTCTTAGTTGAGCAACTGCTGTCTGTGATTCTTCCTGAAGTCTCATGTTATCTTGTCTCAAATGCTGGACTTCGGCTTGGAGAACAGCTTTGTCTTGTTTTTCCTAAACCACAAAAAAGGAGTTAATGATGCTTAGAGCACATATTTTGGTTTCTCATGCTTCTGAGTGGGCTAAAAGCCCTCTGTTGACTTAAATTCCTCATTCACAGTGATAGCAGTAGAACTACAACTTGAATCCCCACATGTGCTGTTTTCGCTGCTAAATAAACTTGTATAACCAGTTTTTTTATAATATTGCTATAAGGCTAAACTACACTGCAGCACACTACTACAAAGTACCAGACATTTCATCACAAAAAGATATGAACTCTTTTATTTCTAGAACTAGGCATGAAATGATGATAGGAAAACAGTGCATTAAATGCTTACAACAAAAGGCAGCAGTGACTAGTAAGTAAGCAATTGTGTGTGCGGGTGGGTGGGGGGGGGGAGAGGAGAAATTAGTATGGGTGATCTGAGAATGGCTTCTCAATACTATGTAATTTCACAGGGTTTAATTTCATCAATAACAAGCTCAGGGTCTTCTGCAATGTCAAATATCTAGAAGAAAAAGCAGTTTAGGGACAGTGCAGCACACATTAAAATCGTTCTGGAGGATTGAGAAATCCTTTACAGCAGGTTTTCAGCACTGTGAAGATGTATAAGGGGAAGAGCGGGATGACTCAGTGTTACCACAAATGCCATAATTGATTTAGTTCCATGTGCTCTCTAACCAAAGAGTAGAGACATCTGTAATCACACTGTTAATTTTCAAGCTAGAGCTACAATAAACCCATGTTCACAGCTTAATTCATTCTATAACCTTCAACAGAAGAGACCCAACAGACTGAAATGACTAATTACAACATAATGAGATAGGAATCATTATCCAAGGAAATTTTAATGTTATGAATGTAGGAGGGTCAGTATTACAATCACACTAACTACTTTGGAAATAACTGGCAAAGAAGTCTTCAACAGTGCAAATAAAATCAAGCAAGGCTGTAGTATTCACATTTCTTCTCAGAAAACCCTCTTTAGATCAAAGGAGAAGAGACTTTGTTAGTTTGTCAAACGTCTCAGCAAACAATGAAAAAGGTTTTAATGAGCAGTACAATAATTATAATGTTGGTGCCAGCCATATAACTATGTTGAGGATGTTCTATAGTTGGACCACTATAAACAAGAAGCCTGTCTCCTTAACTGACACATAATGAAGAAAGGCCTTGCTTTAATTATATTTGAAAAAGAAGCACACAGGAACTGTGAATCCTGATCATTCCAACTTGACTTTTCATTTTGTCTATGTTTTCCAGGGAGCTCTCTGGAAGATCAGCAAGTGGCAAAGGAGAGGTTTAGCAGCCTTTATTTGATAATAAAAAAAAAACCCATTTCCATTCTATCCCTTCATACAAAATTTGATGATATCTATATGTAATTTATGTGAGCCACCACTGTCACCTATAATTTAAGTTTTAAAACTAAGGCAACATTGCTTGAGGGACACACTAAGGTCTCAGAGTACTCAAAGCAGCCATGCACCAATTCACTAGAGCTTAGGCAATTGACTCTAGCAGTTGTGCACTAAAAAGAATTTTTATAAGGAAATCTTATGTAAGAAGGAAAAACTGAAAGTCATAAAGTATTAGACTTGCAGACTTTGAACAGGGTGTAACTAGCCATTTGTGCAGTACACACATTTATCAGGACTTTCAGTCTTATGTTGAAATGTTATTTCTTCCTTAATATTGTTACAGTAACAAAACTATTCATGAATTGCCTACGCGGGGTGAATCTTGTAAAGGTTATTTATAAAAACTATTTATATTTTCATGCATATCACTGGAGTAAAATTACAGAGACAGTGTGGTATAGTGGTTTGAGCCCTTGGTTTGAATCCCTATTCAGCCACGGAAACCCAGTAGATGACCTTGAGCAAGTCATACTTTCAGCCTCACATTCTAGCTGAACAAATATTGATAAGAAAACCATGTAATAAGTTCACCATAAGTCAGAAACAACTTGAAGGCACACAATAACAACAAAATTGATTTTTGAAACCCAGGGTTAATTAATTAACATCACTTGATTCAAGCCAATCAAGTCATAACAATGTATGTTGTTGCCTATTTAACAAAAGCACAGGACCTTACTGAGTGCTAGAATCCCCCAGCTAGGATGCCCACTAGCCAACATGCTGACTAGGATTCTAGGCATTCCAAAAAGTAATTTTTCCAGCTCTGGTATTTAATTAACCATGGAATAGTATAATTGGTTTGATTGTCAGTAGATTCCCCCCCCCCTTTTTTTTTCCAGAAGGCGGAATTAACTCATAAAATCTATAGCAGTTATCCAATTTCTTGTATATTAAAAATGATAGTATACTTCCCAAGAGTCTGATCTGATAAGGAGGCACAATGCTGGTAGAAGATTTTTGCCTCCTTCCTACCAACTAGCTTTTTCTTGTGTGAATCATACTGCCTTCATTCCCATTCTAATGTTTGTCCAATGTGGTGAACATTACAAGTTCTATAGGCATCTAGTTTGCAAGTAGTTTGTGAGCTGTTTTACTGATCTTGGGACAAAAATCATAATGTACTGATGCTGTTTTATTGCATTAAATATTTTTACCTTCCGAAGATCAGTTTGCAATTGTCGAAGGATCACTTCCAACTGGTTTACTTTTCCAGTCAAGGTAGTAGGGCTATCCTCCCTTTAAAATTAAATGGTGTTTTGCAGTTATTTCAGGAGTAAAACAATTCCATACAAAATGTAGAAAACAAAGAAAAAAATAGTTTATCACACGAGGCAGTCAAATCACAATTATAGCAGGACAAGTGTATTTTCCTATGGAACTCCCTATTCAAGGAAGTTAAGGTGGTGCCACCTGTTTTAAGATCTCAGTGGGCAGCCAAACACTGCTGTTCCATATGACATTCGGTGTTTGAAATGGTGCTTTACCTGTCTTAAAACTGGTTTCTAGAATTGTTTTCAGACTGCTTTTAGGAGTTTTTATAGCATATTTTAATGTGTTTGAATGTTATTTTACATTTGTTTCTTTTAATAGGCTTTTATTTGTTCTGTCCCCTTGGGAGCCCTTGTGGGCTGGGAGGAGAGGCAATACAGAAACACAATCAATCAGTCTGTCAGTTAATCAATGTCACCTTGTAACCATTTCATTTGAAAACACATGAAGTTGTCTATTCATGCTTTTAATGTAGTTTAATCTAACAGCAGCATCACTACAATGATACATTATTTCACTGCTATACCATTTTTATTACAATACAGGGATATCATTTTTAAAGCCCCTGGTAGCACTAAACCCTTGTGCTGGCTGGATTTCTGACTGATAAGTCAGCGGCTCAAATCTAGGGAGAGAGGGTTGAGCTCCTCTGTCAGCTCCAGCTCCCCATTCAGGGACATGAGAAAAGTGTCCCACAAGGATGGTAAAACATCAAACATCCGATCGTCCCCTGGGCAATGTCTTTGCAGACGGCCGATTCTCTCACACCAGAAGTGACTTGCAGTTTCTCAAGTCACTCCTGACACACACACAAAATTTAAAGTGTGCTTTGTTTACTGATATTTCTGATTTTTACTCCAAGAGTTAAAATAATGAAGGGCATTATTAAAACATTATCATGCACACACAGGGAGTGAGACCAGTGCAGAGCTGGGGACCCAAAACTGTCCTACGAAAGATCTGTAAAAACATATGGTCCAGTTATCCTAATATTAGTACCTAAAGGAGCGATTTGAAAATTTAGTGAGCATCTAAATGGTAGTGGACTGCAGATGTCTTGAATTTTAATGCCAGTTTCAGTTTCTTCTCTATTTCCCCCTAGTGAAAAAAGATATGGCAATCTGTATATAAAATAGTTAAGCAAGCATTCCTAACCATACTATTGGAAGCCAGTTGCACTTTTTAGCCCCTAGTTCTAATTTAAAGGAAGGATATTGTGGAGCGGGGTATCTGATTCACATACCCATTAGCATCAATGAAATCTTTTCCATTTGTTGGGCTTGCACCCAAAGCTTGATTATTCTCCAAACTTTGCACATGTTGCATGTCATTCAGGGTGCAAAAAGATGCCACCCTTTGATCTGAAAAGGCAAATACGTACAAAAACATCTAAAATAAGCAGATGTACAAAATATACGTTTAGTACACAAAATATATCTGGCTGCACAGCCAAAGAAGTGAGTCTCTGCATTGTATATTAATACCCCATCTCCACCCATATAGACTCTACAGCCTCAGTTTAATTGATTTTTTCATGGTTTATTTCTAGTTTAGTGTTGTTTAAATGTGCAGAACTGAGACTGTGAACGACTTTGAACAAATTAGTAGAAAATACAAGCACCTCATACACAGGGCAGTACAAAATTCCATAAAACGGTATGGAATCTAGTATAGCATAGAGCATTTGCTGTACTACTATACATGAACAAAATAAAGTGTTTACCTGTAGGTCTTGAAGCCCAAAACTCTACTGCTAACATTATGGCCTTTATCATGATATTATTAATTTTGATTTAGAAAATGTGCTTTAAGGATTTTCAAGAATTTTCTAAGAATATTCAAAGAATACATGCTTGACTCATTTGAAAACTGACTTTCTTCACTGAAGGACATGCAGTGCGGCATACACAAATATACTTGGTGCTTAAAAATAGTGTATGCCACACACAAATTGATATAAGACAAGAGTAAAGCACATGTGGAGTTTTTTCCATGCAAAAGATTTATTCTAGAACAATAGGAATCATTCCTTTGTTATGTTGACTGAACTCAGATTTCTCTAGAGTCCACAGACTTCTTAAAATTGATCTTAGATATAACATGCCTGTCATTTCATAAATTCCCCAAACTTGCATATAACCATGCAACCGTGCAAACATATAAAAGTATAGATATATTGAAAAAATTAAGATCCAACGATTAACCCCAGATCATCACCTAGAAATGCAGTGTGATGACAGACTGGCCCAAGTTCTTCATCAGAGTCAAAATCTGAAATAAGATTTAGAATGTTCCTATAAACAACACAGTCCACTGAACTAACTTGGAATACTGTATTTGTTACCCTTCTAATAGACAAGGTTTCTTGTAAAAACAATCTCAATGAATCCACCATATACAATTTATCACCTCTTATATTATATTCATTTCAAATAAATAAAGCTTAACCTTTAATAAAAAGTTGCAGAATGCGCAAATTAAAATATTGGCACTGGATATCATCTTTAGGTGTGGAAAATATTTTAATCAATGTAAACTTATTTTCTGTCCAATTTCCAAGCTGAAAAAAAGAACAAGCTCTTGCTAAATATATCCCTATTTCTACTTTGGGAATTATCTGGTTTTGAACAACCAACTGTTAAGATAAGAGAATGATTTCACACATCAGTAACATACAGCCAATGCTCATGATGGCAAATACAACAGACTTGATAATTTTAAAAGCAATTTTACTCAATCTGAATGTAGTCACAGTACAGAACATGGCCGTGCTACGTATTAAAAATGAGGGAGAAGAAATAAAAGTGTAAATTGACACAAAGCGTCCATCTGTACAGGTCACAAAATCTGGTCTAGTCTGAAGCATTGCTGCTTTAAGCCAGCCCCGGATTCTGACAAGATGCTTACAACTCTATGCTCCCAAACTGCAACAATGGCAGGAGTGGAAGCCTCACTGTCCAACTGGGTCAAACCTGGTCTGGTTCTGCTGGACAGTCACCCTTACTTTTATATAATAAGCAATAAAAATTGAGCCTTTCATTGACCATTTATACTAGCTCATAATTTGTAAGATGCAGGAATCACTAGTTAATAAAGCCAAGTTTATCTGAGTAAGACCCTAAATCTACAAACTATGGCATTCTATGGATCTTAGAGAGACTCTCCCCTTTGACATCAGAGACAGGGAACAAGTGTAGGAAGAATTCCAATCTCTAACTAATCTGATGGCCCTTCCTGCTGCTACAGATCATTCAGAAGTTCGATTCTTCCCGACAGTGGAGCTCTGATGGGTAGGGAAAATTGTATGGATCTGGGAGTGGCAGGGATGGAGTATCCCCTGCCATCAAAGTATCTTAACTCTCCCAGCCTTTTGCCATGCCCTCAACGTGGAGGATGATATCTGTCTTCACTGCTCATAAATTGGCTGAATGGGGAATGAGCAGAAATGTATTGAAATCAGCACCCCTCTCTCGCTTCTATTCTTCTATACCAGCGGAAACCTGTCAAAGCTTTAGCACTTGGAGCTCTCTGACCCTGGAGATCTCCAACACAACAAAAGACTTCCCTGTAAGTTTATTATTTTCTGTAATTTCATTTTTATTACTATCAAGACAAGCAACTATCCACTTCTGATGTATTTCCTGATATTCTGAAATTTTCCACTAGTGAAATTGGTGAAAGTACAAACTATTGTACTTTGATGTCAAGAAGAATAATGAAATGCAATACTGAGATATGCTTGATTGTGACATAATGCAATGTTTTATTCCCAATATAAGCTTCCATTGCTTTTATTTATTCATGGATTTTAGAAGGGTTGCCAAAACAAATTACTGTACAGTTTTGGATACTAGGTAGAAAATGGAAAGGATTATATTTGAAGGTACTATTTTTTTGATTAATTTAATTTGTATTTCTTCTTTCTCCAGATAGGATCCAAAGCAGGCAAACATTTAATGATTTGTTAAACAACAGAAACATGATACATGTATAAGATACAAGTACTATTACATGAAGTGGAAAAATAAATGCTATGAAAAAGAATGAAAATGTTGGAAAGATAAAGTTTAGATATACAAGGGTATTGTTTAATTTTTTGGAAGTATAAAACACAAGTGTTATTAAGCATTAAGATGTTTTCCCATTGCATTTGCAGCCAAGTAGCTTTCCGTTCCCAGTAAACTCTTCAATGACATTACCAAGATATCTATAGAGAGAAAATAAACACCCTCCCTCTGTCTGATTAGTTTACTTTAAGTGGTTTTCAGTACAGTGAGGTTCAAAGTAAGAAGCATTTTAACAACACTTAACACATAGTACCCCTGTCCTGATTGTGGGCTTTCCATGGGCATCTTTTTGGTCACTGTGGGGAAACAGGATGTTGGGTTAGATAGGACCTTAGCCTAATCCAGTTCTGAAAACAGTCACAATCCACAAACTATCTGGCCTGCTATTTCAAATCTTAAAAACACCAAATACACTGGACTACAATGAGAGTCTTTAATTATCCTTGAACTGGCCATTGAGTGCTGTTGAAAATGCAATATTGTGGCTAATAGTGTAACTCAGACTTTTCTCATGTAATGGCTTATTCAAGAAAAAAAGTTACTACATATGTCTATGAAAAAACAATATAAATCTAAGAGTCTTTCTTGCCCTCTATTAAGAGAAAGCAGACACCCAAGAAACTTAAGGATTATATTACGCATGAGAATACAGAAGTGAATTGTATGCTAGACCTACACATTACCAGTAAACCTTCTCTCCTCACTGCCATGTCAACCAGCTTCTGTTCTTTCCCTGTTTAATTTGTGCACTGCTCCCCAGAATGCAGATACAGATCAGGATTATATCCATCGGCATATTTTGAAATATTACAAGGTAGGCAACTTTGTAATAACTAATAAGGGACTTACTCATTTAATAAGCAATATCACTGAGATTGTGAACATCAAATGCTACTCAAGTACATTTTCAAAATTTAACAAATAGTCTATGGTTATAAAGCCATTTTTATGGAGAAGATTTAATTTGCATAGAATGATCTTCAGGTGCATATTTAATGTTTAATTACTATAAAAAGCTTTGGACCCCTGGTGGGTTGAGAGTTGACAAACAAGTATCTTATATAACATGAAAAAAGAATTAATGATAGCACATGGGGCAATATTACACACAGATGTTAAGGTTTATTGATCTCTAAGATAAAAGGAAATAGTTCAGAAACCACCAATTAATTATACTGATGGTGGGGAGAAGAGGGAAATACCAGCTCCAAGAAAGAAAACTGAGTATACATACTCGTTCGTTTTCTGAAGCAACTATCCACTGCTTCCATATTCAGTAAACAAACAATTAAACTAAAAAGTTAAACAGGAAAGCTAATTTGTTAGGATTAATCTTAAATTATTTTACGTTCTTTTAACTGTTTAACATCCTGATGTTGCAATGTTAGTGCTATCTTGTTGCAAGATGCTTAGTAAGACAGCAATAAACATATACCTTTCTTGTTTCAACAACTCCACTGGATGCTATTCCATTTCCAGCACAATTCCATGTGCTGGTTATAAAGCCCTATAGAGTTCAGGTCCAGCCTATGAGATTGTTACAAATCTATATATGATATCAAAACTCTAAAATCTTCAGATGAGAACATGCTGGTGGAACAAAGGAGGCAATTTTCTTGGTAATTGGTCCCAGTCTCTGGAATATTCTCCTTGCTTTCTTTCCACAGACAAATTACAATGGGAGGAGTTGGGGAAATGGCATAGTCAGGTACAATCACTGGATAGATGTTAGGAAATACTGAATTTATTTATGTATATGCAAGTATATATACACATGTGTACATGTGTATAGGTTTTAATTTTTTAATAACTTTGCACATTTTAAAATAAAAAAAACCACACACACTTTACTGGCTCTTATGAACAGTTTTTAACATGTACTAGTTTTAGCAACCCGTTGTTAAAACCGTATTGGATACAAGGGGGGGGGAACTGGCAACATTTTCCATGACTACAGCCAAAAATGGGTGACATTTGGGGGGAAATGAGGTTTTGGGGAAAATGGGTGAGGGAAGTACCAGGGAAGTCCTGAGCAAGCATCTCAAATAGCTTCAGTGAGGGAAATCTAAAATATGAATGACTGTTATAATAAAGAAACTGAAACCAAAGTGTGAAAACTAACATCACAATCCAAGTAGCAAAACACTGTATAAATCCAACTTCATTAGCTGACTAAGGGGGCAGAATAATCTTGTCTCAAGTTTAATTAATATCTATGACTCTCAAACACTGAGTAAGAAACATGCCGTAGAGTTCTTTCATCTTCATAGTTCACTAAATTCATGGGTGTTTAGGGCATTCTAGCCATGAAAGATGATAGCTACAAAACTTCAGCTATTCAAGGAAAATAAAAACAAAAGTATACATTGCTCATTTTTAAAGGAAAACAATATTTCTTCAATGTTATGAAGAAAAAGGTATCATATAAAATTATGCATGATTTCACAGTCAGGGAAATGTGTCTAGAGAATGTCCTACCAAAATGTACTGAATCCAATTTCAAATCACCATTAGCGGATGGACACCTGAGAGCAGTTGCAGTATCTCAGGTTAACTACTTCAGATCATAGTCATCTAAACAAGTGCAGTAAATAATCAATACTTTGGAAGGAAAGAGATCAGTTTTAGTTTTAAAGAAACTGCCTAGGAAAGCTAAGTAATAATTACCTTTTAATTCTGGACTAAGTGATGAAATATATGCTATATGAGTTCTTATCCATCTTACTTCAATTTTAGCCCATCACATCCATCCAATATCAATCTTGTGTTGCACTGATAGAGTTTGTCTTTCACTTTTTAAAAGGTAGTAAGTAACTTGTAAAGAGAAAAAAAACTAATCGGTACAGAGCTGTCACTAATCTGATGTATGCCATCAATAGATTTTTGCTATTGATAAGACTGAGGTTAAATTTAGACTAACCATGGTTAATACTGAAGGAGTATGTATTAATTACCTTCAAATGCTTGTGCAGCATCAACTAGATGAGACCAGTCTAATCCTGTTGCAGTATCTGGAAGTGGCATCAGGCCAGGATCATTGAATCTTGATTTGTCAGATAAAGATCCATCTGAGAACCACAGCTCATCTGAGTGACAAATAAAATGCACTGTCTTTAGGATAATATGTGTGAAAAAATATGTAAAGTCTAAAACCGTGTAAGACAAATGCATAACCAGTCCGGATGCTGACACACAGCAGGAAACTATGAATGCACAGTTGAGTCTCGGTACCTGCTAGTGTTTGGTTCCATTATATTTAAGTCCCATTATATACTCTAACATAGTAAATGTGTGCCCCTTACATAAAATGGCAAAATCAATGGTTGCTTTTTGAAATTAAAAAAAAAAACAAAACAACAAGCTGTGGATAGTTGAATCTGTGGTGACAGAATCCATTGATATGGAAGGGTGACTGTACTATTATGTATAGATATCTGTCCACCTGATGGTTATCATTAATCATAAAGACCATTTCTTGAAAAGGAGGAAAACTATAGTTAAATTAATTTCTGAATGTTGAGACTTTTTGAGGGGAATTTCTTTGCTTGGATGCTTATATTGATTGATCTGCTAAATACAAACCATATTTATTAAATGGTATCATTCAATGTTGGTTCTAAAACCAACCATCAGTCAAGCTGCTATTTGCAAACGTTGTTAACCAGTTCATCTGAAATTTTGAGTGCAAGTAAATATGAGGCAACCATGTATCCTAAGAGTTTTTTTGTATTATAAAAATGACAACATATTGGTTAAATAAATTTTAGTTTTGGTAACTATTTGTTTGTTTGTTTATTTATTTAATTTCTCCTAGAGTGAGACTCAAGGCAGTTTACAAAAGACTCGGATAAAACCTACAATAAAACCATCTTTAAAAGCATACAAAAGTTGAAAATAAAGCATCCATCATAAAATGCCTCTCTGTGAGCAATTACACAGTAAAATCCTGCTTAAACAAAAAGGTATTTGCAACCCAGTGGAAGGAGAACAGGAAGGGGAAAACACAAGATCTGAGCCATATTATGAAACCAGATAGAAATATTTCATGTATGAAAGAAACAAAACTTAAGAATTCAGAATGACTATCAATCACTACATCTTAACGAAAGCTAAAATGTGGGCATCATTTTCAAATGACAAAAGGTTAACTCTTAAAGAAAGAAAAGCAGACATTCGCTTATAACCTCTTACAACTTTGCGTTGTTTAACAACTGATATAAATTTTAAATATTTCTACTGAAAATATAGAAGACAGTATTTACTTCCCTGAAAACGTGCAACATGAATTAATAGTGAATTAATAAACTATTCATAATCAATAAAGAATGTATGATGGAGTGACAATAATACACTATCTTGGACTTGGTATCAGTATTGGAATTAACATGTTCAAAAGACAATAAGCTAAAGACAATTTGCTATTTACACTCTTTATCTAAAAAAAAAAAATGCAAAGAATTGCAATGCAGTAGAACACTGCATGCTGGGCATGCAAAACATTCCTAAATTCAATAATTGGCATTTGCCATCTAAAACCACAAGCAATACCATGCAGTCAGTGGAGATCAACCAGAACTTTCACTTGGTACAACTCAGGATGGTCCTAAACAGTTGTTGCAGGCAATCCAAAACACTGGAATCCAAAACACTGAATTCAGCCTGCATTTTGATCCAACAGGAACACCCCAAGTAGCTTCAGCAGTAGGAGGGCTGTCAGCTATAGTGGCATCAGGGCTACATACTTGGCAGCTGATCTTCCTAGTTCCATGCCATATGACTGGCAAAAGGATCTGGGGGGAGTATGGGGGGCTCACTCCTTTCATAAATCTTTGCCAGTCAAAAGGCACCGAATCAGTAAGACACGTTGCCAAGGAGCAGGTATGTAGCCCCGAAGCCACTGGAGCTAACAGTGAGGAGGGGACAGCCATTCCTTGCCCCTGGGCACCTGAGCCAAAGAGTGCAGGATGGCTGTGGGGAGACCTGGTTCCACATAGGACCAGCAGGTATCTCACTGCCAGAACTCAGGGGAGAGCCTAAATCTAACTGCAGAATTTGGGTTTTCCTCTTAAGTTACTTTAACCCAGAGTGGCTTTCCCTATGTTAATTTAGGACAGCATGCATGTCTTTTGTAGCTCCCCATGGTCTGATCCAAACTTTCACAGACCTAAATTGTCTGTATATATGGAGCCTGAGTTTTTATGCTTCATTTGTAAGGTGGTTTTCCAATGGCAAATTTAATATCAGAACAGAGGGATTTTAATGTACATACTTACGTCTTAAGTTTCCAATACCACCAGTTACATTTCTTCCGGAAGGTAAAGTGCTGTGATATGGTGGCGTAGTGCTGAATAAAATATCACTTGGCAATGCTTGGTCTAACATTGAACTCCGTGAACTGGCATATGAAGATCCTCTCCTGTTGCTACATATGCTCTCATCAGAAAGAGTACGGTACAATGTCCTTCGTGGGGATAGGTTGCCATAAAATGAAAACTGAATATTGAAAAAAAAAATCAGTACACTCAAACACTAACCACAATGATTATAACTATATTCAAGAGTTTCACAAATAAAACTTATCATGCTATAATAATAATAATAATCATCATCATCATCATCATCTTTATTTATATTCTGCCCTATATCCCCAGAGGGACTCTACGTGGATTCCAAACATAAAAGGCAAGCATTCAATGCCCGAGCGCAACAACAATACATCCATAATAACGAAAACTGACAACCCAACATATAAAAACAAATTATGCCTTCACTGTATTGTCGAAGGCTTTCATGGCCAGAATCACTGGGTTGTTGTAGGTTTTTCCGGGCTATATGGCCATGTTCTGGAGGCAATTTTTCTCCTGACGTTTCGCCTGCATCTATGGCAAGCATCCTCAGAGGTAGTGAGGTGACCTCACTACCTCTGAGGATGCTTGCCATAGTTGCAGGCGAAACGTCAGGAGAAAAATTGCCTCCAGAACATGGCCATATAGCCCGGAAAAACCTACAACAACCCTATGCCTTAATTGATTTAATTGACGAACATTAGTTTTATCTCTCTTCAATGATGTCAGGTTTACTGTCATTTTAGTGTTGTCATTCCTTACTGTATTTCTTTCTGCCATACAAGCATATCTATTAGGGCTGGGCGGTTTCGTTTCGTTAATTCGTAATTCGTTAATAATTCGTTAATTTTTTCAATTACAAAACGATAACAAACCATTCTGGAGCAATTATTAAAAAAAACGAATTTTCAAAAACGTTTTGTAAATGCTTCGTATTTCGATATTGTATTCGTTTCGTTATTGTTTTGAGGTCGTTTCATTATTATTTCCGCATGTCTGGGCCAGTTTTATGGTTTAATTAGTGAAAAAAAATTATAATATCACACCAACAGTCAACAACAGAGGGAGAGGGAAGCTTCAGAAGGTTTTGGCGGTTTTTTAGCGTATTTCGCGGTCGCGTCCGCCATTAACGAATCGATTCGTTATTGTTTCGGAAATCGATTCGTTAATTTTTTACCATTTACGAAATTTCGTAAATATCGAACTTTTTAAAAGGAAAATTTTGTAATTATTTTAAATATCGAAACAAAAAAAAACCCCAAATACAAATCGATTTTAGAAACAAATTTTTCCGTTGTTACCCAGGCCTAATATCTATCTATCTATCTATCTATCTATCTATCTATCTATCTATCTATCTATCTAAAAATGCTGTTCGTTTTGAGTGACATCATAACTCAAAATCTGCCAGACCAACTGCCGCCAAATTTGGCCACAAGACACCTACTAACCCAAGGAATGACCACCACTCAAAAAATGGATTTTGTATTTTGGGAGTTGTAGTTGCAGGGATTTATAGTTAACCTATAATCAAAGAGCAATCTGAACTCCACCAAAGATGGAATTGAACCAAACTTGGCACACAGGACTCCCATGACTAATAGAAAACACTAGAAGGGTTTGGTAGGCATTGACCTTGAGTTTTGGAGTTGTAGTTCACCTTCATCTAGAGAGCACTGTGAATTCAAACAATGAAGGATCTAGACCAAACTTGGCAGGAATACTCCATATGCCTAAATATGAACACAGATGGAGTTTGGGAGAAATAGATCTTTACATTTGAGAGTTGTAGTTACTGGGATTTATAGTTCACTTACAATCAAAGAACATTCTGAACCCCACCAACAATTGGGCCAAACCTCCCACACAGAATACCCATGACCTACAGAAAATACTGTGTTTTCTGGTGGTCTCTGGCAACCCTTCCGACATCCCATTGCGATTCTCAGGTTGAGAAATGCTGCCTTAAGGCCATTCAGTCCAACTCCCTCTACCAGGGCAAGAAAACATTAATCAAAGCCCTCCTGACAAAGAGCCATCCAGCCATAGATATAGATAGACATATATGATTCACACACACACACACACACACACACACACACACACACACACACACACACGTATATGACAGATATAGTATCATTGATTTAAAAGGGACCCCTAAAGAAGGACAATTATATGTTGCATATTTCAGAGTAGGCAAGCCAGACAATCTCTACATCAACACTGACAAAGAAACAACAAGAAATGCTGTTTAGCCATAAGCATAAAGAAATTACATATATTAGAAATCAACACTTTCTCGTTACTTTATTTTCCAGTTGACTAGACTGGGCCACAGCAACGCATGGCAGGGGACAGCTAGTAACATTATAAATTGTTAGAAACAGAAGACAGTAGAACTAAATCTGGAATAAGACTAACTTTCTGGTGGTGACAGATATAAGAATTTTCAAAACTAAGAATATATTGGCTTTGTTTTAATTTTTTCGTTTTATTATCCAACGTGTCATCATTAAAGAAAGTACAATTTTAAACAAACAGATAATATAAATTCAACCTATGCAGATTTTTGCTTTTTTTAACAAAATAGCACCATGTATTTTTACACATATTGTTTCTGTGGCAGATAAAAGAGCTTGTCATTTTTCAGAATAGCCTGCGTGTAGGTGATTTTCACCATTCATCCTTTGCCTTCAGCCTCACGTTCTCTTGCCTGTCCTGTTCCAAAGGGTTCTCCAATCTTCTAGAACAAATTCTCATAAAATACAGGGGGATCTGGCAAAATTCCCCCTGCTTCCTCTCACAAGGGCTTGTATACTCCGGGAAATTCTAGATCCAGGTCAATGCACTTTAAGACTCTCATAGGCTTACTTTAGATATTATTTAACATTTATGATTTTGTCTCTTTACTGTGACAAGAGCATAGAAAGAAAGTGAGTTACTCGGAATGGCTCTTCTGTGGTTCGTGATGATTCTACTTAGCTACAGATTTTTTCTTTCCATTTTGTATTTCAAAATATTTATTGTCGTAATGCATCATCGCTAAAGTATTATTTCTTTTCATTAGTTTTCTAAGCTGAAGCTAAATTGAATAGTGATGAGCCACAATGATTAAATGCAATTGTATTAAACTGTTCTATTTTGCTTTATCCTATCACTGAGAAGTTTTGCACTACCTCTGACACCTCAGAAGTAAGTATATATGAGCACTGGTTTTCTATTGACTGCATATGTGTACAAATAACATTTTCATTCTTCACAAAACCCTGGCATAACTTGTGCAATATGCATTAATTTTACGTGTATATTTGGGTTTTTTATTGTTAATGACCTATAAATGAGATACTCTAAGCGTCCCAGGCATATCTACACTGACCCTTTACGCCAAAAGAGGGTGAGATCAGCTCCATGTTGGTAGCATGTGGCATGAAGCTGAGTCAGGTGAACACAGTAACTGGGTATGACAGCACCTATGTAAATACCATTAATTCAGTGTGTTACTGCAGATGAGATGGGCAAGAGGGGGCCCCAACGTTCAAAATTCAATTTACGAAGTTTATATAATCTCAGATACACAAGATGGGCCAAATATGGGTGGACTCTTGGGTTACAGGAGTTGTGTTCTTGCTTTATGCATTTGAATTAGTCCTGAGAAAGGACAGTTTTCTTTTGAGGGAAGAAGCACTCATTAATGCATTAACAATGCAAGCCATGTTTCCTTTATGACATTTTAAAGCAAAGCTAATTTTATACTTTCATTAAGCACAGATTTCTAAGTGTTTGATATCAGCCTGCTAGTGAATCCCTTGGACTACTTGAACACTGAAGATATTATTTTCATTCAAAAATGCTGTCTTTTTATTCAGATTATTTTATTCAGATTATTGGAGCTGAAGTATGGGAAACAGTCATAAAGTAATTAGAAACTACTCTTCATCTATATTTAGGAACTGACAAGAAAATCCAGAGCTTTTAAACAAATATATTCCATCCCCACCCCACCCCCACCCCATTTATAACCTCAGTAACTATATTTGGGGAAAACTTACTATCTGAATTACTCCTTCCATTCCTTTAAATGATTCTTTTTGGAATGATTATGAATAAAGTTAAGACAGTGATGGATTATGTAAGGACACAATTGTGTGTGATAGTTACAGACAAAAAAGTAGCTAACCTTTCTTCTGCCTTCCTCCACAGAGATGCTGTCTGGCATCATCAGTTTCAGAAATTCTTCTTTTGACAAGACTCGTTGGTTTTCAGAAACCGTACTTACAGAAGCTTGAAGCTGACTTGAAGATAGGCCATCACTATCACTATACATTCTGCAGAAACAATTATTACATTGTGGTTTTTAAAAAGGTTTATTAACATTTTTTCAACTTTTGTTCTATCCATAATGCCTTTAAAATATTTATTTGAAGTGTTTTTTGAAAATCAAAAAATGTTTCTTCAAAGGAATATAAAAACTATTAATCAACTTTTACTTGAAGGCTTCCATAAAGTAAAAAGAAGAAAAAATATGAATAGCCTATCATCAACAACAAAGAGGTAATGATCGAAATGGATACTAAAATCCCATATTATGGTATATAAAAGCAACTCTTCATAGAGGATCTCTGACTCGTGTTCTTAAAATCATAGGATAATAGAGTTAGAAGAGACCACATGGGCCACCTAGTCCTACCCTCTGCCATGCAGAAAAACCACAATCAAAGTTCCCCTGACAGATGGCCATACAGCCTCTGTTCTTAGACTAGACCACTTTTCTAAAACAGTTCTGAGAATGAGAAGAGTGTTAGTTAGAATGAATGTTTATTCTTGAATGGCAAAAGGAGCTATCCATGTTTTTTCCATTATACCCACACGTAAATTGACTATACAGAAGTCTAGGAGTATTTTTCTGTTATATCTGTTGACTCCCATTAGTTGACTCCCCTTAGTTGCATTTTAAAGCCTTGCTTACCAAACTATTCCTTAAAAATTGTTCAGTTATAAATCCCACAAGAGAAAGCTATGTAATGTTGGGGCACAAACATAGTACCTCCTTTTAGAAATCTTTAAACATGTGGTAATAATACATCATCTCCTGGTCAGAAGACTTGCCAAGGCTGATATCTGTCTTTTAAATGTGTTAAGTTTTAAACTCTTAAAAATGCTGTTCTGTATAAAAAGTGAGCATATTGCTAACTTGGATGTCTTCTAGGACGAGTAACTGAGGCTCTCGAGTAACTGAGGCATAGGTAAACTTCAGCCCTCCAGGTGTTTTGGACTTCAACTCCCACAATTCTTAACAGCTGATAGGCAGAGAAAGCTCAAGATTTTGTAAAACTATAGTTGCCATGACTCAATAGCATTGAGTCAGGACAGTTAAAGTGAATTCATTCTACAGCATAGATACACCCCCAGGTTTTCCTTTCCATTGCTGGAAGCTTTGGGTTCTAACACTTTTGTTTTGAAAGAAGAAATTCTAAGGAGGCAGCAATTATAATCGCCAAACTGCAGAGTGCACTTTTGTCACTCCATATTACATTCAACAGCAAATACTTCTTGGTTTCAGGGCCTTGAAAACTGAGGCGCGCATTAAATTCAATGGTGCATTAGACTTGAGTTAATATTATATTTCAAAGTAGATGGCATTATTTATATAAGGAAACAGCCTCATCAATTTATCTATCTATTTGAACTATAAAATGAATTCTTCATTCAGATTTAGGATTCTCTGTTCATACAATACAGGGTTATTATTTATTATAACAAATAATAAAATAATAGTAATATAGGGGGTTTCCAGATGGATGTCTCCTCGCACTATCAATCAAAATACAATAAACAGCTATTTTAATCTTCTTGTTCTGAAAAGATTCTTTCTTGATGTAAACAAAACAGAAGGAATTACAGAAAAACTCAGGAGTATTAGAAGTATAAGATGCCATTTGGACACATCATGGTCCCAAGCAGGAAGCACGGTGACTGCATGAGAAAGGTCTAGTTTGGAAGCACCCATAAATAGATATCAGAGGGTTAAAGGCAGCCAGATTTCTATAGAACTGGCCTGCTTCTTCCAAAGCCTTGCTTTTCCTTTTCCTTTATGTTTTGGGTGCTCCTCCCTCTTAAACACAGAAAACATGGACAAAATCTCTCTTACTCTTGACATTCAGAAGTTTCAGATTCTTCAGGTGTTGGGCTACCTTCTGATTTTTTCCAGCCAATAACATATTTGCTTATTGCTCCTTGTCGAGGGTAGCATTTTGCTATGGATCCAGGGATCTGTTGACCACAGTTTTGGGATACTATGTACACTTTGGAGGTATCCAATGATCCCGTGCTCTTAGGTCCATGTGCTGAAGGACTTCCTGAATGATGTGACCCACTAGAAAAGGGGAGAAAATATGCAGTGCAGTACTCATGTGTGAGGAAATCAAATATAGAAATAAAAATCAACTCCTTTAAGAAAAAGAACTAAAGTTTTCTTAAAATCAGTAATTTCTAATTCCATTTACTGCCTGAGCACAAAGGGCACATTCTAGCTAATATTGAACATTAAATATTATGAAATATTATCCTTTTGAAATAAGTGGAAGATTTTTTTATTTCTATTAATTTCCCTGTTCAATCGCATGGTCTATTCTGAATGCTCAAATATCATTATATACAAAGTAGCAAAATGGTATCCTTTACATAAAATGCATAAACAAGATTTGTTTTGGGGATTTTTTTTTTAAAAAAAAATTCAATCCCTGAATGATTAAATCTGTGGATGCAGAATCTGTAGGTGTGGAGGGCCAACTGTAACTTGCTAATAATTGAAAAGCATTACAAAAATTATTTAAATGTATCCCACCTTTCCTTAATGAAATGCAATTAATGCGATATACTTATTTTAGATAAACTATTTGAACATATATACTAGCATGTCCTAAGATTAAAATAAAATACATAATTTTAAAGTATATCTTTCCAGATAAAAGAAACACATACATGGGATTCCTATATAAGGGACTTATCTCTAAAGAGCATACGTTAACACAACTTCAACATGCTTACTTTGTCACATCACCTATGGCTCAGTAAAATGAACCTGGATCTACAGGTTCATTTTAATATAAAAGGTTTAGATTGTTTGTTGATTTATTTCCAAACATATTTTATGGAAGAAGAGAAAAAAGCAGGAATATTTGTTTTATTCTTCAAAAACCTACAAGTATTTAATCCTTTAAAAAAACCTGGATGACAGAAATAGACCACAGAGAATAATAATACAATATTAATCTTTCTTTCCTGGGCTGAGCCAATTTTTTCAGATAAAACCAGCGATTCTCTAGCTATCTGATGTGAGGAAGTACCAGTTCTTCTTTACTCTCTACATGCTATGTACCAGTACTCTATTGGTAGTCATTTGCTAAAATCAATGATGATGATGACAACGATTGGATGACTCCGGGAACAGCACTTTGAATAGACTAGTAGCATCTCTTTATTGACAGATCGAGGTGCAGAGAGAGAGAGAGAGAGAGAGAGGACTTGAGATCAGGGCTGGCCAAAGAAAGGGGCGGGATTTGCAGTGATGCAGTAACATGGAATATGTTTCACATTATCTCCTAGTTAATATAATTTTATGTACTGTAGGATTTGGATATGATTTTGAAACATTTGTTATCAAATATGTTAACATCAGTGGAAAGCTAATGACATACGTTTGTAAAGGATAAAATGTTTTCACACTTTCTGATATTCAAGTCCCAATGGCAAATGTAAGTGAACCAAACTACATATTTCACATATTGTCTATCTGTAATTGGATTAAGTATATTCCAAATAAAATACAATGTTCACAACAAGCAAGAAGAAACTGACAAACTACTCAACACTAATAATCTGGTTACACATACTGAAGGAGATCACTCACCTGGAATGTGATGATATTTCACTGAGATCTCCCATACTGCCATCACCTGTATGACTACTGGAAATGGCAGAAGCATAACTGTGAACAGCATATATTTTTGTCTCATCATCTTGCCCAGGGGTTTCAGAAGATTCAGCCCACTGATCAGTCCGACCATGTATTCCTGACCGGCTTCCAGCAAGGTGCAAAGGGGCCAAAATTGGAGCAGGCATACAAGGAGCAGTATCAATGCCACTGTCAGTAGAAGCCCCTTTAATGTATGTTAATCCAAGCAAATCTGTGTCCATTAGATCTTCAGAGCCAAAGTGTTTATCATCACTGTTACTGGATGTATTACTGGACAAGGTATTACTGCTAGAATGACTGGAACAGGTTTTGTCTCCAATCTTAAAGAAAAACATTTTATGTTATGAGTTTATTTCCCATGTTTCATAGTTTAATCAATAAAATAAGCAAACACCTGGAACATTATCATTTGTTACTTGAGCCAAATATAATGAAGCTGATTAAAGGTTTTGGCTATAAACATTATTAATAAAATATATAAATATAATCATTACAATTTCTATTAACACGAAAACAAGGTGGAAAGTAACTTATCTACTACATATGACATTATAAAAATGATGCAATGAATTGTATTTAAAGAAAGTTTGAAATGAAACATATTTTATACTGCATTGTCATATATCCATCACAATACAGGAGATTCTCTTCCATATGAATAATTGAAAACAGGGTGTAATTAGTGACCGCCTATTTTACTAGACTACCAAATGCTGTCATCTAGCAGCTGATTTGTCTGTGTTTGCTTTAGACAGTCAATTCTTCCTCAAGCTATGGCAAAAATATATCTGTTTTTGCATATTACAGAGACAGGTTACAGTTTGGATTATGCCACCTTTTTGATGTTAGAATTATCTGGAATCTGTATGTACGGAAGGTACAGGAAAATAATGATAACAGGTCATTGTTGTCCCAACCAGAAAATGAACTACCAGCTGCTCCCAAGCATTCCGTATGTATTAACAGAAGAATCCAGAAAGGTGTACAATATTTTGGATATTCTAAAGGTAGCAGTACAGTAGCTGTGGTTCCTGGTGCATCCTGAAACATCCTAGTGCATCCTGAAACAGTCCTGAAACATCACCCCTGGCACTGACAAAGGTGGATGATTCCTGTAGGACTAAAAATTCTAGGTGACTGAAATAGTTTCAGAGTAAAAGTAGGCACTCTAGCTGCTACCTTTTCATTTTCTTATGACTCCTCTTGGCCCCATATGGGCCAAGAAATGTTCTTAAAACTATATGACAGACAGACACAAGTTTCAGTTTTGCTGAGCAGTATATGCAGCCACCAAAAGTAAAACACAGCCGTCATTGCTTTGTAAACTAGGGAATTAGCAAGGGTCCAAGAACCCTGAAAGGACCAGAGAGTGGAGCAACCATTTGGTGAGTTCACGGGAAAATCAATCCTGTTCTGCACATTTGGGTGTCAGTGATAGATTATAGAAAGAAAAGGCAGAAAAAATATCCCCACTACACCTGGACACCTCAGTATGCACCACTGCTTCAAATCACTAATGCTAGGAAAATTATCTAAAGAGAAAAATAGAAAACCAGATGTCTTTATTCTTTCTCTTTCACTTTCTTGTCTTAACTTCCAATCTTGTAAGATTTAAAATCTAGAAATTCCAATAAAGTCAGTAATGTCAGATCCTCTTATAAGGAGACCCAAGCCTATAAAATAGCTTGAAAGAGCGTAGGAGGTAAAAGCTATGTGTCATCTTTCAGTCATAAAAATTAAAGCATATCTGCATACATACATGTGCAAGTAGAAATATAGGATAAAATGCCAGAGAGAACAAGTGGCAAGGTCATTGTCAAGAGGTCAAGATAGTAGTTTAGTAATGATGAAGCATGGCTTCAATCAGTCATAAAGCTGAACTGGGACCGGCATAATTTTGTTCAAAATAGAATACAGGAATCAAAAATGCTCAATGAGTTAGATTTGTTGGAAGCTCTTTTGTCTTACGGACTAACACCCACAATCATATGCTAGCTGGAGTAAAGGAGAGAGGAAATGCTTATGTACATGAACTGGAGGAAAATGCACAGCTAAGCCTGACATAGATTTTTAATTTACTACAGAATTAATATTAGTACACAACAGGCTCTGTTTTTCAATTCTCACACTTCAGTTCTCACATTATTTAATTCAGCTGGAAATAATTGTTTCTTAATATCAGGTCATCAGTGCTATTCTCACTATCCATCCTCACAAATTAACAGGAACAAACATAACAAGAAATTCTAATTGGATGCATTCTTGAAAGAATAAATAAAATCATTATTTCTCACAATATGACAAGAGATGGCAATGTATGAATGTCACTTCAATACAATAGGAGATGGATATGGGACTTTGGGAGCCAATGCAAATCAGGTTCTAATCAGACACCAAAATTATGCTTACATTTGTGAGCCTTTAATCCATTCAGTGCCCTAGAAACCAGCACATGCCCTTTATAATTCACTTGTCCAAGGTCCCAGCCAGTTAGAACAATTCAATCCATTTCTGCATCATATGTGCTTATAGTTTGTGAACTCTATTTTAATAACTCTCAGAACCTTCCATTCATTTTATATCTAGGTGTTTAATATTGCCAAATAAAAACTGGATGGTCTTTTTGCTTCCAATTATTATTCCTCAAGGTTATTCCATGATGATATAAAACAAAATAATGTGAAACAGAACCTCAGGGTATGGAAAGGTAGAAAATTGATCAACGATAGCTTACCCATCTTGTAGTACAATCTACCCTCAATAATGCCAATTTCCTTTTGTGTATGGGAAAGCTACTGACAAAATAGAAACTTTCAACCAAGCTGGCAGTTGTAGTCACATAACATGTGAGAAAGATTCCTATTTGGGAAACCCTAAGTAAAAAGACTTACATGAGAAAATTTGTTTGGTGAATCCTTGCCACTGCTCTCTTTCTGTAAAGCCCGGTCTTTATAGGAACTCAAGACTTTGGTTGATGGTGCATGCCACTTGGTTTCTGCCATAAATAATTATGTGTTTTAATTTCTAAATACACAAAACATATTGAACAAGGAAAAAAGTCTCACAGCTTAATGCTATATGCGTCAGATTTGCAACAGTGATGTTCGCTGGAATTTCAGGATCAGGAATTTTGGTAAGGCTTTAAATTGAAATCTATGTCACTTATTGCTGTAAATAACCATGAGATACACATGGTTTGCTGTATCTTCTCCATGAATAGAACACATGCAGCATTCCACTTGTTACTGGACTGCCTCTCCCAGCATTTCTCAGAATTAGCTCTGCAGCTGGGAGTTACAGTCTAACGTTTGAAGAGCTACATGATTTTTCATCCTTGATCACCCCTAGAATAATATAAAATCAATAGCTATATCACTATTATTTTTGGGCACTGGTTACACGTAGCGATGCAAAAACAGGAAGTTAAATCATAATATTTTTAGGAATTACCTGAGTGCCTTTCAGACAAAAATTGACTTCATTTATAAAGTGAAATTCCTTTCCACCTTAAGCCCATGAAAGCCATGTAATTTATTAAACAGTGAAATTATTGACAGATTCATAGAACCATAGATTGGACATGGGGTAACAAACTATAACTTTAATGTTAGAAAGATAGAAATAATACAAGAATTTTTCTGTTCTGATTAACTGTCTGAGAATCTTCCATGTCAAGGTGATGTCTGTCGAGGTGATGGCTGTAATGCCCTTTACATGAGTTGCCTCTGAATAATATCAAGCAGATTCTGCTGCAAGGACTGAGTGATTCCAACTTATTTGGAAGTCTATTATTGTACCAGCTGCCAGTCAGTTTCCAGAAAAAAAATCTAGAAACAATAAACTAAATTTACCAATTTTAAAGTTTTAAAACAGTTATTGACTGGGGAATCCTAAAAGGACTGACTCCCTCCATATGAACCACTCAATCTCAAAAATATGCACAATGACTTTACTATGTTAACAAGGCCCTTCTGAATATTCCATCACCTTCTGAGATGTGCCCAAAGTAAATACATTAGAGGATGCCACATTTTTTTCTGCGCTATTTACTTGGTCATTTTGGCAAGCAATCCTGTAGTTACGTTGAGCTTTTGGCTTGTCTGATCTTATCTGAATTTTTATTTATTTTTGTCTTCTTTTAAACATATTGACTTATTGGTGATCTTTTATTACTTTAATAGTATGAGGTTGTTATTTGTTGTTTTTTTCTTAACCACTTTGGGCACTCAACGAGTAGAAGAGTGGGATACATAATTGCCTCAGTGGTCTAAACCCAATATACAAGCACAACATAACTCTTTCCCTACTCCTCTCAAATGCAACACTCAGACTATCCAAGGTGTAGTTCCAAAGGGCTACCCAGATATCTGGAACAGATTTGGGGGCATATGTCTAAGATCTTAGGAGTATGTTATGATGGGAAATATTATATAAGTGGGAAACAAAATCAACAAATATGGTGATTTAGTTAAGACAGAATACTCATTACCACTGGAATGTCTAGTCCCTTCCAAAGTTTCTTCATGTTCTCTGCCTCCTTCACTCTCCAATGGACCTGAACTTTGATGATCATGAAGTAAAGGAGACTGACACCTTTTAATAAAGAGAGAAAATTGTGCTTTTTTCTATTCACTGTGAAAACTGTTTTTCACATGGCAAGATTACATATTTTCAGTATTTTCATCTGATAAGCAAACACAATTAAGAGATTTAACAGTGACCGCTACAATGTTTCTAGCATCCTGATGATTATAGCATAATGTTCATCTAAGAGTGACAGACAAACTGAATATTAATCACTCTCAAACACAGTCGTCCCTATTTAACGTACGAGTTCTGACCTACTGCTTAATTTTTTTTGTTCAGATAAATAGGTATAGATATGAAAGACTGAAAATCCAAGCCTGGCACACACACCCACCCACCCACCATTTTACAATTAACTAAATTCTATCAATAGTGTAGTCCACAATATCCTTGACTATTTGCTATATTGCATGTATATTGATTTCTATATTTAATACTTATAAAAAGAGGTAGGGCAGTAAAGAAATAAATACCCGTCATATCCTACTTGGTGCCTCCATTGACTACTTCCACTCGGTCCAGGATCACTGGAAGATGACTGGTTGCTTGGTGAGCTTCTGAAATATTGACTAGAGTAATTTAAGAGGTACTAAAATCTGTGGTGCTTTAACAATTATGATTTGAGTTTTTAATATATTTGATTAATAAACTTGTTATAATTATTTAATTAAAATAATTAGAAATTAATATGACAAACAGTATGATTACATTTGGGGGATATCCCTTATTTGAGACTGTTAGATGTGGTCATACTTTTATGACCACATCTAACAGTCTCAAATAAGGGATATCCCTTATAAAATCTCTACCCTATGTGGAAGTTGCTTCAGTTTATTACCAAGGTGGTTTTCATCAAGGAACTACTCTATAAGAGGTAATAATACCTCCCATATGCAGATAAGATAAAATGTATCACAATCTGGCTGGTGCTAATATTGTCTAAGTAAAATGGTTACAGTGCTATGAGAAAGGCTTTTTTTTACTTAGAACCACCACTCAATCTATATAATACCAAAAGATAAAGGAAACATGCAATAATCATTTCATCTAACACTTCAATTTGAAGAAGGAATTAAAATGACAACTGTATGGTGGCATATCATCACACTTGCTTAGGAAGACATACATTGACCTAAACATTGGGATCAACGTTTCCCATGAAATAAAACCGCTCTATCGAGATAGCAGAAGGAGCCTCCAATGGCACAATGGGTTAAACCCTTGTGCCAGCAGGACTGCTGACCAAAAGGTCAACAGTTTGAATCCAGGGAGCGGGATAAGCTCCTGTCTGTCAGCTCCAGCTTCTTATGCAGGGACATGAGAGAAGCCTCCCTCAGGATAGTAAAACATCCGGATATCCCCTGGGCAACGTCCTTACAGACGGCCAATGATCTCACACCAAAAGAGACTTGTAGTTTCTCAAGTCGCTCCTGACATGAAAAAAAAATCGAGATAGCAGGACGTTGTAAGCAAATATGTTTAAAAGCAAAGCACAATACAGTTATGTCTTGTCAAGTACAGCATTCCCAAGAATCAACACCAATTAAGCCTAATAGTTATGCTGTAAAATTAAGCAAAATAGTATCTACTTTTGGAAGAGTAAAAAAATGGGTTACACTGAAAGAAATTCTACTGCTTTTAATTTTTAATATGCATATTAAAAACATTCTATTATACAAGTATAAAACATTATATAAAAACTGTTCATATGAAAAATGAGAAGAAATTTAATAACAAATCTGTGAAAGTAACAAAATCTCAGTACTATTGAATTGATTGATATTGCAGAAAGACTGAACTAAAATGTTAAAGTGCTTTTTTATTTCTCAAGAGGAAATGATCACAAGCGAATGAGAAATCCAGACATTTATAATAAAAGCACACTTTATAAAATCTGACCAATAGTCTTGACCAACTTATTGTTCTTTATAAAACAGAAATATTATTAGTGGATTGAGAGATTTGGCCACCTCAAAAATGTATTGGAGAATGAGGTTTAGAGAAAGCTATTTGTTACATAACTCACTATTCCTTACATCTTATCTTACTAACATAAGACCATCGGAAGAGTTTTGTCTCCCCTTCCTTTTTTCAAATAAAAGTTTTAAATATGGACCTGCAGAGTGGAATGGATATATGATGTAATGCTCTGAGATATTTTGGAAAGTATGGCTGATGACTAACCACCTGGAAGCTACTGAGTTTCTTTCATTTTGACAACTACTATTTCACATTTCTCCCAAAATTGGGGCTTAAAGTAACTTACAATTTTCAAACACAGCATAGCTAAAACACACAAAAAGTAAATATTAAACTATTGGCAGTGTTACAATAATTTAAAACTGTACTTAAAATTATAATGCAATTAAATGATAAAAAGCATTTAAAACAGTTCCGTTAACCACAGCATCCATTTGTTCATTGTTTAAAAACTTCTGTTCTAAAAGCATGCCAGAATAAAAGAATGTCTTTGCCTGGCAACTGAAGAACATTAAAGAGGAGGCCATTTTTACCTTCCTGGGAAAGGTGTACCGCTTTAGGGGCAGTCACCAAGAAGCACTCTCTTGTGACCCCAAAACTTTGCTTGTGACTGTGATAGGATTGAGAGAAGGATCTATTTTGATGATCTCATGCTCATGGTAGGCTCATATGGGGAGATATCCTAGATAGCCTGGATAGCTATATTAGGCATTATCGGTCATAACCAATAGTTTAAATTATGTCCAGAAAGATACTGCTAGTCAGTGGAGCTGTTGCATTTAGCCATTCAATCAAACTGAATGCAGGACAACACAATGAAAGCACTCCCGACAGATAGCCATCCAGCAAGAGTCACCATCTGGTCCCTGTAACCATACCACTCCCCTGCTCTCAATTTTTATGAATAAGCTCCTGTGGTATTTTACTAGTTAACCTTTTCAAGATGACAAAAGTAGGCTGAGCAGTACATCTTATATCCCATTAAAAAAGAGGGAAGGATATGAGTTTTAATGATATGAGGTACCTTTTTGGTATCGTCCTCACAAGTATTGACTTATTTGTTTAAAAAAAATGCTACAGGCAAACCTTGGGTTCTCTTGATATATAATCTGTAGATCAAATCTTTTTAAGATCTCGTAGAATATATTTTAATAATTGACGCAGCTCTTTTCAAAAGCTTTAAAATCACTTTTTATCAAGGAGCAGAAAAGTTTAGGATTCAACCATTTAGAAAATATTATTAACAGAAAGTGTATTACCTTGCACCATCTGGCAGCTTTCTGTCAAATGATGTACTGCGAGGGATAGCTGTTTGCGCCTGTTGGAGAAGCTGCTGGCACTGCAATCTATCAGATGTTCCTAGGATTGGAGAGGCACGAGAGAGAGGCTGCCCAGCAGGAGTTGGCACCCGATGCCAAGTAGTATTCCTCCTAAAAGGGGTTTTATACTCACATGGGGTGCCTTCACTGTCAAGTTTGTACTCCACCATTGGAATTCGACACAGTTCTGAGCAACCCCTGCAGGACACGTAAGCACATCAATCCATCTTTAGAAATGATATATAAAGTATTTGCCGCCACATCACTTAATTTTAAAATACTGCCATAGATAATATTCTATATACAGACATAGATATACATAGAATATTTCCTGTTGCAAAGTGAAACATCTAAGTAAACAGCACCTTTACAACTGCATGGAATTATGCCTGCTACAGGAGATATAGAAATGTGTTATGGAAAATTCATCCCAAACAAGTATTTATTTATTTATTTATTTATTTCACAGTTTTGTATACCGAGCTTCTCAACCTCGTTGAGGGACTCAGCCCGGTTTACAGCCATAAAAACATATACATTCATTAAAATATCATATATCACAAATTACACATCAACTTTAAAATACACTAAATATAAAACTACAGTGGTCAGTCGTCCTATTAAGATGGATCTATATCCACTTCCATCCAGAGTCCTAGGGTGTCTCATTCCTCGAAGGCCTGACTCCACAGCCACGTCTTCACCCGTTTCCTAAATGTTAGGATGGATGGGGCGGTTCTGGCCTCCAGAGGGAGAGAGTTCCAGAGTCGCGGGGCCACCACCGAGAAGGCCCTGTCCCTCGTCCCCACCAGCCGCGCTTGCGAGGCTGGTGGGACCGAGAGCAGGGCCTCTCCAGATGATCTTAGTAATCTTGATGGTTCGTAGGGGAGAATACGTTCGGAGAGGTAAACAGGGCCGGAGTCGTTTAGGGCTTTATAGGTCAACACCAGCACTTTGAATTGTGCTCGGAAGCTAATTGGCAGCCAGTGGAGCTGGTGTAACAGCGGAGTGGTGTGCTCCCTGTACCCAGCACCCGTTAGTAATCTGGCTGCCGCGCGTTGGACTTGCTGCAGCTTCCGGGCAGTCTTCAGAGGCAACCCCACGTAGAGAGCGTTGCAGTAATCTAAGCGGGATGTAACCAAAGCGTGTACTACCGTGGCCAAGTCAGCCCTCCCAAGGTACGGACGCAGCTGGCGCACAAGTTTTAATTGTGCGAAAGCTCCCCTGACCACCGCTGAGACCTGGGGTTCCAGGCTCAGCGATGAATCCAGGAGAACTCCCAGACTGCGTACCTGAGCTTTTAGGGGGAGTGTGACCCCGTCTAGCACAGGCTGTAACCCCGTACCCTGTTCGGTCTTACGACTGACCAGGAGTACCTCTGTCTTGTCTGGATTTAGTTTCAATATCTGTTGTCCCTCATCCAGTCCGAGACAGCGGCCAAGCACCGGTTCATGACCTGAACAGCCTCCTTAGTGGTAGGTGGAAAAGAGTGATAGAGTTGTTTCCTAAAACAAAATATTATCATATTGCATCAATTCTATGACACCCCCCTCCAAATCAAGGCTCCAAAAAGGAGTGCATCTTGAAATTTATGGTGTCCTAAAATAGCTTTAAAAATAATGGTGTGCTTTGCTGTCACGAATTTCATTTCATTTCTCCATAGTGAAAGACAAAATTTAAAGCTTCATCTTGTCCTACTAAAAAAAAGTGAATTAATGATTGTGTGGGTACCACTGAAAAAAGGGATTTAAAGATCTTGCTTGTCCCATTGAAAAAAGTGAACTAAAGATGATGCTGGTCCCATTGAAAGAAGTGATTTAAAGATCAATCTCTAATTTTACTGATTCCCATTTGTTGTTACTATATTGAATCCTCTTGCTATTAGAGAAAAATATTTATTACATACATTTCAGCACATCTTAGAATCAATGGTATATTTCAAAACTTGGAAGACTGGGTAGTTGAAAAGTATGCCAATTATATTCATGTATATGCGCGCACACATGCTATGCCTATGCCAAGTAAAACAAACAATGTATACTTTATCATATTTTATTTTTCAGTGGGACTTCTCTAAACCATGGGTGGATAACTTTTGTACAGTTTTTTGGCCATTTTTTCAGGTGGTCTCAAGTGTTTGGGCACCACACTTTTTGAAAGCATCTGTTCCATTTTTGGAGGTCCATTGTATCTTTTTAGAACAATTCCAGCACCCAGCACCACATTTCAAATGTCTTTATTTTTCTCACTATAAACTTTCTTCACTGCCCAGAAACACTATGGCATTTTTTATCCTGACTTTAGTATTTATTATGCACCTTTGCATTTGAAGAGCTTATTTAATCCTTTCCTAACTGTCCTTCCAAGCATCTGTTTCTGATTAGATGATTACAGTCTCCATTTTGGTCAAAGACTAAGCCACAGTATACAAACTCTTTATCAATGTCAATGTCTTCATCACTCGCTTAAATGAACTATGCAATGCAATGATAATAATATGTATTACTAGAGTACCTATACAAATGACAAGTTTACTCTGTTATTATAATGAGGTTTGGGTCAAATCAAAGAGGAATAGCTTACTCAATGCCAACTAGTGGATTTATGCCAGAGGTCAACTCATCACTCACTTAATGAACTATGCAATGTCAACTAACAGTTTTTAGTCACTGCAATATACCAACCTAATAGTGTGTGATGCGTATTAAAACAATCTTCAAACTTCTAAGACAACAGAATAATATATGATTCAATAATATGTGATATAACTAAAGAGAAAAGGATTGCTTTAGTCAGATATACATGCCAAGAACCTTATCTTAATAGTACCATGTGAATGGATGAAAGCAAAGCAAACCAAGATTAAAAAGGATATTAAAAACTACAAAAAGTATTTGTATTGATAGAAGGGGGAAAGATTTCAGCTGCATGGACTTGAAGATAGGCAGATTTTACAGATATAGCGAAACAACTGGGAAGATTAGATAAGAGACTAGACTGAACAGGTTAAATCAGACACAGTTAGGTTACAGATAATTAGTACGTTGCCACAGAGGGATAAAAAAGACCAGATCGTCAGTATTAATTAAACCTTCAACTCTTCCAAATATTTTGTCATTAATCACAGTATTGATAATCCATCAATTTGAAAATATTACAGGAGCCCATGATAATGCATAGTAAGAATGGTAAGTGATAAGAAAAGTAGTAATACTGTATTAGATAACAAAGAGATACATATATCTCACAAATTGAATGCTACAGTATACATAGCATGTTGATGATATTTGTCTGTTTTACAAAAAAGAGGAAGAATTGTACATACATATTACAAACTGAATGTACCTATTAAAGTTATTATCTCTCTAATTACTACAGTATATATTTCACTTTTACAGTATTCCTGAAAGTTATAAAACATTTTAGTACTCGAGATGGTCTGAGAATTCAGAACATTCCAGAATGTGATGGATGTTTCATCAGCATCCTAAAATGTACTCTCCTTCACAACTGCCCTATCCCACATCCTTCTCCATATTCTTCCCTGCTTTTGTCCCTAGTTTCCACCACCATCCTTGCTACCATCACACCCTCTATTTGTTCCTCTCCCCACATATGAAATATCAAAAAATCATGAGTGTGAAATTTCACCCCTGCCTGATGCTTTGAAGATAGAAGGACAGCTCCCAATACAGCCCCTAGGCCCTAGCACTTGTCACTCCTTGCTTTAAATAATACAGTTGACAAATTACAGATTTACATAACTGGCATTCACAGAAATCTTGTGGGAGTCATTTCTCAGATTCTAATATGTAAGTCTTTAGTATTTTGCTGGATATAGGGAACAATTTCATGATTCTTCATGTCTCATGACAACCACCCATCCTTCATTAAAATAGCACAGTGTTTCTCAAGCTTCCTAATGCTGTGACCCCTTAATACAGTTCCTCATGTTGTGGTGAACCCCAATCATAAAATTATTTTTGTTGCAAAATAATTTTGCTCCTGTTGTGAATCATAATGTAAATATCTGATATGCAGGATGCATTTTCATTCCCTGGATGAAATTTAGCACAAATATCTGATATGCCCAAATTTGAATACTGATGGGGTTGTGAGGTGGGATTGATTTTGTCATTGGTGAGTTGTAGTTGCTGGGATTTATAGGTAATGTACAATCAAAGAGCATTCTGAACTCTACCAATGATGGAATTGAACCAAACTTGGCGCACAGAACTCACATGAGCAACAGAAAATACTGGAAGGGTTTGGTGGGCATTAACCTTGAGTTTTGACTTGTAGTTCACTTACATCCAGAGAGCACTGTGGACTCAAACAATGATTGATCTGGACCAAACTTGACACAAATACTCAATATGCTGAAATGTGAACACTGGTGGATTTTGGGGGAAATAGATCTTGACATTTGGGAGTTGTAGTTGCATTCTGAACCCCACCAACGATAGAATTCGCTAAACTTCCCACACAGAACCCCCATGACCAACAGAAAAGACTGCGTTTTCTGATGGTCTTTGTCAACCTCCTACACCCCCTCATGATCCCCCCCCCCGGGGTCCCAACCCCCAGGTTGAGAAATGTTGGAATAGCATGAAAAGATCCACTGTTTTACATATTACAAACCAGTGCCCTTAAACTGTTTTACTTAAATCTCATTTACACAAAATAAGAATTACAAAAAGCATTCAAGAACGTCAACAAAGAAAGCAATATGTTAAAAGAGCAAAAAACCAAACCCACCAAAAACAAACCAAAAACAAAAACAGTAAAGTTACACCCAATATATTGATCAATACTGTGGATTTTTACCTTCTAGGAGATCCATCCTCATGGGGCTGGATAATAACAACCTTCACTGTCACAGAAGTACGTAGCAAATCAATCATTTGTTCATGACTCAGGGTTGCTACAGCCACTTTACAGATTTCCACTAAGCGACTGCCTTGGCGGAGGCCTGCTTTCCATGCAAAACCAAATGGCTCCACATCTGCTACAATTCCTTCAAAGTTAACATGGAATCCAAGTTGTCCCAAGCCATTTCTCCTCAGTGTCATTTCTGTTGTTTCACATCCTCTGGTTACTATCTAAAGAAGAATCAGATTAGTTAGACTATAGGGCGATAAGGCAAATATCAAACATTTCTTTTTTAAAAAAATAACTCCATGTGAGCAAAGCGAGGGGAGAGGATTAAAATGGATTTTAATGGAAATTGAAGGGGGAAACAGAAATATTTAACTTCCTTAAATATTTCATATATTATATATGAATTTCATACATTTATGTAATGCAAATTGCATTACTTTATGTACATGAAAATGAATATGAATATCCTAGTATCTAAAAATATATTGTTTAGTACACTTATTATTATATGTCACTAGATTATTGTTAAATGACTGGTATACCCCTTCCATCAGAAGATGGTCACAGTCATGATTCAATGAGCATTTGGAAGTACTCCAATGTAATTAAATTGTCAACTTGTAGTTGATCATAGAATCATACTGGAGGACTCAGAGACTGCTAGACAGGTGTTCTCTCCGGTTGAAGACAGTGATTTTTTTTATTCTACTTTTCCCACTTTAACTGAGGTCTTCTGGTCAAGCCTGTGTAAAAGTGGGGGGGCCTACAGTTTACATTCTTGGAAAAAATACCTTTGTTACTGAAAATAATGACAAGGTCTTTGCATCCCTGGATTGGATTCATTACTTTGCTAGGATAAGAAAGCTTTTAAGCACTGCAAAGTCGCTTATATTAAGTAAAATATTTTTTTTCAGTCTTTCAAGATACTTAGGATGTTTTTTCATCAACACAATAGTCCTAAATTATTATAATACAGTGTTCCCTCACTTATCACAGGGGTTCTGTTCCAGGACCAGCCGCAATAAGTGAAAATACGCGAAGTAGGGACACAATATTAATTTTGTCGTCTTATACGTGAGGTTGTCTTATATGCAGGAGCAGTCTTATACACGGGAATAGTCTTATACGCGGGAGTAGTCGTATACGCGGGAGTAGTCTTATACACGGGAGTAGTCTTATACGTGGGAGTAGTCTTATACACAGGAGTTGTCTTATAGAGTGGGTGCTGAAACTTCCAATCGGATTGGAGAATCTGTGGTTGCCGCATATGGTGGGGGGAGCTCAAAAATGGCAATAGCCGCGTCCCTGCTGCATGCAGCGACTGTATGAAAGCATTAAGGGCGATGCTGTACAAGTACGGTAGAAGAAAACCCATTCATCAGGATTCGTGGATTTAATGCAGTCCTGATGGTGAGGTGAAGGGCCGCCTCACTGGGAAGGTGTAAGTGAAGGGCGGAGCAAGCTGCAGGCTTCCGGGGCGCCCGGGGTATGGCAAAAAGGGATAGAGTGGCTCTGGACCCAGAAAAACACACCTCTTTTAGCTGTCTGGCCTGCCCTTGTATCCTATTACTGTACCTCCTCCTCTGCCTCTCAGATATCGCTCTTGAAGACTGCAGTGAAGCAGTGCAGGTGCGCAGGTGCAAGATCTGAGAGGCAGAGGAGGTGGTACAGTCATAGGAAAATTACCATATTGAAATCAAATCTGATGCTTTTAAATTTTTTATTTAGTGTGTTGGAGAAGGGGTAGTCTTATACGGCGAATATATCCCAAACTCTATATTTTAACTGGAAAAGTTGGGGGTCGTCTTATACACTCAGTCGTCTTATATGCTGGAATATATGGTACATATATAAGTGTAAAAAACACCCTTTGTTGTGGATAGGGGAAACTCAGTGCTCCGATTTAAACTTGGCCGGGGTGGGGGGGGGGGATGGAAGGAAATTCACATGACTATCAACATGGCTGAGGTGAAGTAGGTGCTGCTGCCTCCAGGACCTCTCCTTCCTCCCCTCCCTATGTTTTGGCTGTGGTCTGGGACCTTCTGCTGTATAGCAATAGTACAAGCTGAACGTAAGTCAGATATTCTTAATTCAGGGACTGCCTGAACCAAATATACTAAGAATCATTCATGTCATAGAATGGAACTTCCTGCCTAGTGAAGCCAGAATTGCCCCCTCCCTGCTGTCCTTCCAGCTGCAGGCTAAAACTTTTTATTCAGACAGGTTTTTAAAGACAGTTTTTAAGATTAAGTCAGGGGTTGTTGTGGTTTTTAGGTTGAATATGTATATATTGATATTAACTGAATTTTTAATACCTATGATATTTAATTCTGTTTTAATGTTTATATTTTTAGATTTTTAATAGTACTGAAATGCTTTTAATGAAAGTCTCTTTGTGGAGAGAAAAACTGGGGTGTAAATACATTCTCTCTCTCTCTCTCTCTCTCTATATATATATATAGGTGGGAAAGCTGGACAACGAAGAAAGCTATCAGAGGGAAAAATCAAATCATTTGAAATGCATCAGAGAGTTCTAGAGCTCCTATGGACCAACAAAAATATAAATAAATTGGTTGAAAAAGCAGGTCAAGCCTGAAGTTGACCTGAAGTCAAAATGACTAAACTGAAATATTTCGGGCACAACGTGAGATGGCATAAATAACTAAACAACTAGAAAAGTTATGAGCATTAGGAAAAAAAGGAAATCGTGTTATAGATGAAGTATTCAATCAAATAAACTATGGTCCCAAGTTTGTACATCCTGTTGATAATGTTCTTAGGGCTGTTATATCTCAAAACTGACTTGATTGCATTTTTTAAAAACAATGAGAGTACTAAAAGAAAACATACTTACTTCTAGCCTTTGTACAATTTCTCTGATGTCACCAGGGCAGTTATCAAATGCAGACAGAAGAACACATTCTCCTCTTTCATAAAAAACTTTTACACTCATCAGTCCAGATGTCCATCCAATAACATCTCTGCAGGAGCAGTTAAACACAACATTTTTTGATTCCTTTTCAACCAATACAATAAATTCATTTGAGATACCAAGGAGACATTCAATGTCAAGAGACTGACCAAAGTCTCGCGCTATCACATTCCATATCACTGCTCCAACACTCAATAAGTGAGCATCCTTTCTGGGCTTCACTCTTTCTTTCTTCTTTGCTCCCAGTGTAATAAAACTGAACTTGACTGAAGTGTCTACTGTAGTTGTAGTAACAAAGTTTTCTGCTAGATCTTTCAAGTATTCCTGACGTGTCCTAGTTGCCATAGCACGAAATTTTTCAGATTTATGTGCTGCATTTTCTGCATTTATTACTTTAGCCAAAAGGAAGTCCCGAAAAACTGCCGATTTAGGGAAAGTCACTCCTTTTGGAATTGGTGGCCCAAATGGTGGTACATCTTTTGATCTTGAAACTCCAACACTGAAAAGGGAAGAAAAAATATCAGACAAAATTAGTTTTGTAGGATCAAAATATTTTAATTTGATTAACAGAATTGCTAACTGTTTATACATTTATACCAGGCACGCAAACTTTGGCCCTCCAGGTGTTTTGGACTTCAACTCCCACAATTCCTAACAGCCTACTGGCTTTTCCCATGCCTGATTTAGACACACATCCATTATCCAAAATTCTGAAATCCAAAATGCTCAAAAAAACTGAATTTTTAATATTTATGATGTTTAATACTATTTTAATATTTGTATATTTTAAATTGTATTGTAATGCTTTTCTCCATAAGGGGCTTTGAGTCCCCTTATGGAGAAAAAATAATAAAAAGCAGGATTTAAACAACAACAACAATATCTGAAGCTATCAACATGGATAGCTGAGATAGTGACACCTTTGCTTTCTTATGGTTCAATGTACAAAAACATTCATACGCAACAATATCAAAAATATTATGCATAAAATTATCTTCAGGCTATGTTTAGAAGGTGTATATAAAATATAAAGAATTCTGTGTTTAGACTTAGTCCCAAACCCAAACTATATGCAAACGCAGGTATTCCAAAATACAGATAAAAAAATAAAAATCTCAAGAATTTTGGATAAAGGATACTCAAACAAGAAAGTCTTGCACAATAACCAACATCAGAATTTTCAGCAATGAAAATATAAGTGTGTTTATGCAATAGCTGAACAACTTTGTTGGCAAATCTTAAAATATATTGGTTCAGCGAAGTACGTTTTTGTTGTAGGCAAACTTCCTGTTGCATCAAGACATCATAAAACTACGTTAATCATGCAGAAGAAATAACTGATATGCACTGCATGGTACGGCATTGCATAAAGTAATGCAACACAACCTTCTATGATGTTGTATACCTAGAATGTATTACTATGTGGTACATTTCATATATGCCTGGAATGCAACACCATTACAGTGCCTACTTTAACATTGCAATTTGCTGAAGACTAAAAAAAATTGATGATATAAACTGAAAGGGATTCACTGTGAGCTAAATGTCCACTATTCTATCTTATGTCTTATTATCTTTCAAGCACATTTTTTCATACATTTATAGAGAAGATGAAAGGAGGATTACCCTCTATTTTGTCAGTAAGATTACTCCTTCTTTCTAAATACAATACATTGCCCTATGCTAAAACTGAATAATCTAAGATTTTTTTCTAGCATTTTAAACTTTATGCCTAGCAAAACTGCATGGAAAATGCTAACACACACTCACATATACACAAAAGACAGAACAGACCGATTACTGCCATTGTTAATGAAAACCAGCAGTAAAGGCAACCAGCAATTATCCTGTACTTACCTATAGCACACATTTTCGGTACAAGGGTTGTGGACTTTAACAATGACAAACACATGTTGAAAATGGGAACGGATATTTTTTGGAGTAAAAGGAAGTGCTCCGGGCTCTTGGAAGACAATGGTAACAATGTCATTTCCTATATGCCTTTTCCTTAGAAGCTAAATGTTAAAAAAAATAAAATTAATACTACCTACAGTTAAATTCCTTTCTGACAGAAAAAAGTGACGACTACAAATTACTTAGGCATGATGCTAATGCAAATATCACAAGTTGAATTAGAGGTGCTACAGAGGGCACACAGCCTACCAACTTACCTTTCAGAAAAATCTCATTTCAATTAATTTTGAAATAACAATCAAGGGACAGGATCCAGACATTGCTAGGTGTATGATGAAGTATTTTTGTATATAAAACTGCAGTTCTCCCATTCTACCCCTACTTCAATTGCAGTATTCAACATTATTGTAGAGTGTAAGCACTTCCAAGACTTTTGAAAGCAGCAGTTTTGGATGATATAACTGTGACAAGGCTTGTGATAAAAAGCAAAATCTCCCATGCAGACTATTGAAAACTACTCAAAATATGTATGTGCAAATCTTTTTACTATGGAAGAATGTGTGTGATGAACATAGCTGATTAGAAGATGGCATACTATGAATTACTCTCAGGCTACATAGACTATCAATAGCAAGACTACCTCTGGCAATATATTTAGTATGAAGTTCAAAAAAGTGATAGGTGATTTTTTTTTTGTACTATGTTTGTAATAATCTGAAAGAAAAAATGCTGTTGGAAGTAATGATACACTTAAGGGCATCCACAGACATTATCCTGTCATATTTTCACATCAGGAGTCCACAACACTAAACCAATTTTTTTGGGCAGGGGGAGGGGAGGCTAGGGGTTATTGAAAAAAAATCACAATCCTGTGGAATTCAATACCTTCTTTAGCTTTCAAATATAATTCAAGAATTTGGGATATAATGTTTATTTGTCCTGCTTTGGGCAGTCAAGATTATACTGACTGAAAGCTAGAGATCAAACTCATGTTGTGTTTTGAACAGTTTAAAATGAATTTAACCTACATTTTCAACATTTTGAGATCAGTTGATTAAGAGACAAAAGAAAACAAAAGAAAAGGAAAGATCTAAGTACATACAACAGGTATTATGAAACTCAGCAACTTATGATGGTGCTGCTTTCAATTTCAAACTGCATATTCATTCTAGTGATTTTCAGAGAGCTAGTCATATTAGTCTTTAAAGTAAGTATATAAATTTAAGGATATATTTGATGTCATTGTCTTTAATGGAAATGAACAATTTAATGTATTTACTGTATGGCTGTAAAGAACAGGAGACAAAACCTGTTAAGTTATTACTAAGATAATTACATGATAAAGCACAGTTGTGTTAGAAAAAAGAACCATCACAACACTTATTCTTATGTTATTGCTACATTTAAGTGACATTTAAGATACTACAATTATTCTGTCAGCTTCAGTGGGTGAGACAGAACTTTGGATTACAGATGAACCTGTTAAAGCAGTGGTTCTCAACCTTTTCTTCATCATGGATCCCCTTTGAAATACCTTTTGTGGCTGCCAAGCCCCAAGATTTAACTCAAGATCTAAGGCACCAGACTGCTGCCCCACGTTCTCTGACTCTGTCAATAGCAAGAAATATCACGTGCTTCTTCTCTGCCATTCAACATTATTCACTTGCATGTTCGCATCATGTGCACCAATACATTTCTCACCCAACAACCCTCATAGAGGATTTCCATCTCTGATTGTTTTTAATTGAGGCAATAGATTAAAAAAAGCTAAGTCCCCGTCCCCCCCGCCCCAAAAGCATAGAAAATTAAAATTATGTACAGTTTCCCCTTCTGGATTGTTTCATTCGTTCATTCAGATTTAACTACAAAAAACCATTAACACTCCCTCAATCCTTCATGGACCCTCATGATGACATCACGGACCCCTAGAAGTCCCCAGACCACAGGTTGAGAACCACTGTCCTAAAGTATTCTACAAAGCATGTATGTAAATCCTAGGATGGAAAAGAAACATTTGTCTTCTAATTGGGATGTACACAAATTCAAAATGTTATCATTATTTCTCCCATCTTGATCAGTTTAATGCTAAATTTTGACCTCATTAAGCAGTATTTCCAACTTGAAATACTGAGAAGGTTTCTTTGAAAAAGAATTTCTATGGACAAACAACTCACTACTGGAGCCAAACTCTCTATTTATACTTCTGCTATTGTGCACTGGGGTGACAGTGGACTCTTGATAAAATCTCACTGAACTGATGTTGCCTGACTGAGAAGTTGTTGTTTTTGCTATAACCTTTGAGTCAGCTCTGATTGGCAACATTTATTGAGAAATTTTACATTTCCTTTCCCCTAAGCCTGTGACAGAATGTAACTTTCCCATGGCCACCCAGTAGTTTTCCACAGCTGAGTTGATCTCCTAGAAGCCTAGTCACCCATTCAAAAGATCATACTTTGTTAGCTCTCACTCTGATTATTCAATAAGATCTCTCCTACAGCCATAATTTCCCTGTAATAAACTGGATTTAATCTTTAACCTCTTTAACTATGAACTACACTTGGTCATGTTTTATTCTTTGTCTAAGAGGGGAAACATGACATCTGAGATGTGCAGGCAATGAACTTTTTACATTAAATGGAACACGTCTGTCAATTACCACTGATAGTTACAATCACCATAAAAACATAAACCATATTTCAAGCTCTAAAATTTGTAGGCAGACTGAATTAAAAAAAAAAAACTCATCTCACTTTCCAGTTGCAAACAGATAACTACTGACGAATGTGATGATACCCATGAAAAAGAAAATCAAGTGGAGTAGACATGTTTCACATGAAATCTCTGTAAAGTTTTACAGCTCAGCAGCAAGATTCAGCTCCTCCCGTGAGAATGAAGAACCATAGTATAGAACTAAGAGCATGGACCATGCATCATGGAGTTTAAGATCTCAGATTCAATCCATGGAAACTCCACAGAGTGTTAAAAATAATTGCACCTGAAACAATTGCGAACTGAAACTAGTAGGCAATGTTGGGCTAGAGTGTTAGCAATACTGGGCTAGATAGGCACATATTCCGATGTAGTCTAAAGCAGATTCTAACGTCCCTATGAACCAGAAGCCTCAAAAATAAATTTTGCTTAGCATCAAATGCCTCATGCTCCAGCGTGTCTCCTTTTTTTCTGGACATGAGGTATAGTGCTATACTTTGTCAATCCAATGAACAAATCTGAACTCTAGACATTGTTCCTTAATATGGTTGTTAATTAAATTTTATTTTTGTGAGCCACAAAGGAGGCTTTGCAGAAAGGAGGTACATACATTTTTGAACTAGATAAATTAATTAGCATGTCTCTCTATAAATGTTTAAATAAGCACAAATTATATTTAAAACGAGATAATTTTGTCAATCTAATTAATTGTATCTTCATTATCTTTGTATAACGTGGGACAATTTTTATGATCCTAAAATGAATAATGGATATTGTTGGCAAAAATGTCATCCAATAAATCACTTTTACTGAACAGTCATGTGGAGGTGTATCTACATGTTGTCTACAGCATATTTTACGGGTGTATCAATAGTGCTTGAAATTAGTTTTAGTTTAATAGTCACACATGTATTCACTCATCCTTTAAAGTCTTACCAACTGGGTGAAGTCCTGGATGAAGACATTGCAAATATTTCCTGAATTTTAACACAACACACTACCACTATAAGCAGTATTGTAAAGTTAAGTACAACATTAGGAAAATAAACCAGTGCTTGCAAAGAGGAACATAATGGTGCAAGGAATAGAAAAGGATAGTTAACCTGTGGATGAATGGCAATATGGAAGACACTGATTTTGGCAAGATTGAATGGAGAAAAGGGAATGAAAAATATAGTTCAAAATTGATAACAATGTGTATTACTACAGATTACTTTTTTCTGTTTCATGTTTTGCTTATCATTTCTTCTCTACATTTCAAGTATAATCAGTTGAATCACTTGTCTTTTTAACATAGTCTGAGGAGTCAAAATTACTACATGCATTCCCTGTGATTACTTACACAGAAGACAATAGAAAATTAATAGCAACATCTTAATATGTCAGCAATCTCCACCATATTTTTAAAAAAACTGTTCTAGATCTCATCTAAACTTAAGTTATGAGTGCTGCTCACTAAGCTTCTCCTTATGAAAATCAACCATTAGATACACTAGCATGAACTCCAATTGGAAACATTCAACTAGCCAGCCCCTTCTATAACAACTGTGGGTGCCATGTTTATTATTTTATTTATTATTAGCTGACAAAGGCAAACCAACTGTTCTTGAAACTTATTTTTCAGCAGAACAGGGTCACTTGTTGAATAAAAAGGAACAATGCTAATTTTTCATATAGCTTAAACCATCTTTCTTCATTCAATTAAATGGGGGGGGGGGTTATGAGCAGACATCACAATGAAACCTTTAAACTTATTTTAATATAACTATAAAATAAGTAGTTTCATAAAAGATTTGAAGAATAATATTTTACACATAAAAATGTCACATATTTCAATCAGACCTGATTAAAACTGAGAAAAATTGAAATATTAAAACTGTGGTTTTATTTATTATGAAAAATGTTATAATTTGATTTTAAATCAATTAAAATAAAGTTGTATAGATTTTAATTAATCAGATCTGACCAAAAGCAACAAAAGCAAATGGAAGAAGTGTGAAGGAAAATATTAACAAGAAAATGATCTGGAAAGGATGCTTGTAAGGGTAAAGGTTCAACAGGGAAAGCCTTTAACTTATGATTTGTAAGGAAAGCCAATACAAGGAGGTGGTACAGGCCACACCAGAGTGGGTAGCTTCCTCTGTTCCGATTAGAACACTGAGTGAAGGTTCCCCACCCTATATTGCAGCCAAAGTGAAAAATTACCTTCATGTTTGGATCTCCTGCTGGCTCTAAAACTAGAGGAATGTCCTGATCAGTGACCAAGAAGGGCGTGGTTATTTCCTGGAAAAAGCAACAGACAATTCTGGTGTGGCCTATTTCTGGCTCACAGGTAACTGGATGCTAAGAAATGCTCAGCCCACAGTAACTGGCTATACATCTTGGCCAGTGACTATATCAGATAAACCAATTCACAACATAACTTGAGTGAAATAAACCTAAGATTCTATTTGGCATTTGATCTTAGGATATGAAGATCCCACAACTTAGTGAGCGGATATAATGAAACAAGCCCTGTATACAAAGAAAAATACACAAAACAAACCCTGTATGCAAGGAACGGCTAGTAAGGCTGGATGTCCCTTGAGGACATCAGCAACTTCATCTGTTTTACTGACCTCAGTCTCCTGTCTGTTTCATAGGAAAAGAGTCAATATGTGAATTTTTACTATCTTATCAAGAATTAATTAATAGATGCATTCTATATTATATATTATACATTCTATATTATATATTATACATTCTATATTATACATCTTGGTAACAAGAGAGAGAAAAATAAACATTATCACCTATTTCTTCTACACATTAAGGTTGGCTAAATGCTGATTGAGTGTGCTTATCACATGTTATGAAGTGTCCGTGCTGTGCAAATACCAATATTTTAATATTTTAAGAGTGTAGCAAAATAATGCGGTGGGCATTCAGTATTCCTTAAACATGGAAGACTTCCACATTATTTTTGAACAAAAGTAAACCATGGAACATACTGTGATATTATTTCTAAAGAATACCAAGACTGTCCAGGGTACAAAGACTGATGAGTTTTTACTAAAACACTGTGGGAAGGTGTGATTGTTATTGGGAAAATAATGGGATATTTTGAGGATAAATCAAAATCAAAGCAAGGTTTAGTTTCTCTAGGGAGGAATACACAATAGGATGTATTTGGGAAAAGGTACAGAGGAAGGGAAGAAAATGGAACAGTAGTATGAGTGGCTAAGCAAACACAACAGTGAAGATGAGACATTACACAATTCTGAAAGAAGTGGATCAAGGCAAAAGTCTGTTTCCCGTGATCTTAGACTAGGCAAAACTAAGACAAAGACAAACAACATTCAACATCAAATAAGGCTATTACTTGTTGTCATTGCCTGTCAAAGAAAGTATTCGAAATTAACGGTACTCAACCATATGTTACGCAGAAGTATTTTCTATAACTCTTGAAATTTAAGATTAAACCATCCACAGAGAGATTACTGTTTTTCAGCTGTTCTGTTTTTTATACCACATCCTGCATTCTGTTTAAAATGAATGCATAGTGATGCAATAAGAAGCTTCACTTTAAAATAAGATTTGTGATTTTCATAAGCCATGAAATGTATGCTGGATCCTGGTACAAATTCCTATTTTATGTGTGCAATCTGAAATGCTATTAAATTCAGATGAATGATAAAATGTCTTCTAAAACAAGGCTTCTTAAACCTTTCCACTCACAACCCCTTTTGGCCTGGGAATTCTTTTATGTGACCCAGTGTGTGTGTGTGTGTGTGTGTTTATTTATCTATCGATCGATCGATAGATAGATATAAAAATAAAACATTTACTGATAATAAATGAGCCTTTGCCACAGGCTTGCTAAACAAGCTGATTTTGCTTTTTATGAAGTACAGTTTAAGCATTTTCTGCAGGGACCACTGTAAACACTACACAACACATATCAATTTCTAAAATAGCTAGATGCAGTGTTTTTAAACTGTATCACAATGGGTCAAAAGGAGTCAAAATGTCATAAGGTTAGCTGATGTGGAAGTGTTGAGGCCTTTTAAACAAGTTGAAAACTGCATTGTGGTGTGATATTTTTCAACTGAATGGCAGTACATGCTATTTTTATACTTTTTAAGGCTTCAGTCTTATGGATGCTTACTTTCGAGTAGGTCTCACTGAAACAAATAAACTTGCACAGAAAATTAGTACCAGTCCAGGTGAAAGGATATGAAAAGTAACAGAAATAATAAAAATAAAGGCTTTTGGTGGATTTTGCTGAAATACACAATTACTTCTAAGATACCCGATTCACAAATCATTACGTAAGTGTTGGTTTTCACATGGTTGCTAACTTTTTTCAGTCTTCAGTATTGTAAATTCCCACAGAATAAATAACTAAATATAGCTATAAAGGTTCAGTTTTTCAACAACATCTTGAACTCATAACCAATGAGATACTAGATTTTATAAGTATTTCAATGAGTCTTGCAGAGCTCATTAGTACTTGAATAGATATTTTAATATGCACACAGTAATACGCAGAATGTTACACTTTAAGCAGTAATCTCATTTGTGAATGGCTTTTTAGTTACATGTTTTAAATTAACATATCTAAATAAGTTGCACAATATCAATGTACCGTTTTAAACTCCCAAATCAGTGGCTTCTTGCCTATACAAAAACCTTGGTCATAAGTGGAGCACCTGCAGAGCTTTGAACTCAGCATATGTGTACCTAGGATTTTATCCATATCAACTAGCACAGGCAAAGACAGAATTAACCTTACAAAAAAATACATATAATCCCACTTGAAGCCAAAGGCGAAAGCCTATCAACTTCAATTATTCAGGATTGCAACCCTAAATGCTGTGTCATTTTTAGCCACCCTTAATGAAATATAATAATACAATGTATATTTCAAACATTAATTGTATTGCTGTATAACATGATGTTTTCTATTTGTATAGGGGACACGCAACATGGTGAACAATACTTCATACCCAAAAGAAGGAGGAGAAAAATAACAACAAGAATGCAACTGCACATACTTATACATGAATGTAAGCCACTCTGAGTCCCCATTCGGGGTTTGAGAAGGGCGGGGTACAAATGTTAGAAATAAATAAATAAATTAAATGTAAGTGTAGTCAAAACAAATTAGGAGTACATTTAGTTTATTTCAATGGAAAAATGTTTTAACTCATAAAAGTTATCTGAACATATACTGAACAATAGAACAGAGGATGATAATATTGAATAATGGAACATGCAAAATTATTTCTTCACCATTTCTTATGATAAAAATGCTTTCATCTAACATATCTTAAAATGTAAAGACAAGACATAAGCATTTTATAATAAATATTCTACCACGGGTACAACACAAATAAAGAATGAAACCTTAGCAATTTAGGATTCAGACTAGCTCAAGAAAAGCAAAATTATACAAACTTAACATGAAAATTCTATATTCTTTGCCAAAAAGTTGTACATGATTTCTAAAACGTGATTTAATGTGACATACCTGTTGTCTATTACTGGGCATATATGGAAGCATAGTTGAGACATGGAACATAATTTCATAATCTTTGTATGTAGTATAAAGGGAATGGGTTCCAGTTGAATCAGCTAAAAACAAATTCCAAAAACATGGTTCAGTAAGTACATGCATTAAATTATATACAAAATAAAACAAAATAAAAATTATCTCTTTCTATGTCATTTGAGGAGGTTTTGTATCAATTCCATATTATTCTTTCCACTTCTACATCCTATAGCCAGCATGCCAAAGTCTTAAATCAAGAAATAGTTTTCTAAGATCTACAGAGATACTCGCAGGAACACCTCAGCAATCGAGAGTCCAAAAGTGGCAGGCTAAAACCTCAAACAGTGGTTGATACCAGATGTGGAACTCCCTCCTGGGCACACAGAAAACTGGGCGATTGGAAGGCACTGAACAGACTGCATTCTGCTACCACGAGATGCAGAATCAATCTTAAGAAACAGGGCTACAAAGTGGAGTCCACAACATGCGAGTGTGGAGAAGAGCAAACCACAGACCACCTATTACAATGTAGCCTGAGCCCTGCCATATACACAATGGAGGACCTTCTTACAGCAATATCAGGGGCAACTGAAGTGGACAGCTTCTGGTCAAAGGAAATTTAGCATAATGGCAAGTTTGTTATTTTTAATGTATTATAATTGTATTCTCAATTAGTTTCTGACACGATAAATAAATACATTCTACTATGATTGTAACTGGGGCACCCTGTGGCAAGTAAAAAATACCTGTTATAAATTACATGCAGCTTTATAAATGATATAAGACACACAGCACTGGCTATACGATGCAGCATTTTTATTAGTCAAAACTGGAAGTTATATTCTAACTTTCTAGAGTATCCGTGGAAACGCTTTTTTTTCTTCTGAGAGGTCACTCATGACCTATATAATTGGTGGCGAGTAAAGCTGAAAGAGAGCAGAGTTTAAAGCATTGAACCGTTTCTATATTTCTTCATCTCTAAGTCACTTTTCTTTTTCACACACAAAAAGTGAAGTAGAAGCAATGTCAAACAAGCATTTTGAAGGGCACAAGTGATTCTGCAGTACTAGAAAAACAGCTGTAGTCCTCGGATTAGAGGTTCTCCATCTCAGCTCTGCAATGATTGTGCCAGTAAGATTATCCTTCATCTCTGACAAGGCAGTAGGGAATGTACTGTATATATTTGAATATAAGCCTAGTTTTTCTGCCCTTTTTTTAGGCTGAAAAAGTCCCCCTCAGGTTATTTATTGTTTTATTCTGTTGTTGTTGTTGTTGTTGTTGTTATTATTATTATTTATCATTTTACTCTATTATTATTACATATATTTTACTCTATTTATTATTGTTTTATTACATATATGATATTGCTCTATTTATTATTATTATTACATTTATTGTTTTACTCTATTATTACTGTTATTATTACATTTCCATTATTTTACTCTATTATTATTATTACTACTACATATATTATTTTCCTCTCTTTATTATTAATGGAACAATACGTAAGTACATTTACATTGAAGAAGGTTAGAATAATGATTTAATGAGAGTTGGGCAGTCTTATCTTAAATAACAGTTTTTTTGTAAATATAAAAAACATTTAACCTACTGATGCCTCAATTAATATAATTTTATTGGTATCTATATTTATTTTGAAATTTACAAGTAGCTGCTAAATTTCCCACCCTCAGCTTATACTTGAGTAAATCTGTTTTCCCAGTTTTCTGTGGTAAAATTCGGTGTCTCAGTTAATATTTGGGTCGGCTTATATTCAAGTATATTTGGTAATATAAAATCCAACTCAGGAACTGCCCTTTGTATAATGAGAGAATGAAGTCAGTAGCATAAGCATTTGTTGACAGAGGGCACATCTAAATAGGAAGAAAACACTGAGGCAGGTGTGGAATGCAGTGCCTGTCTTCACTGCACCGCAGTAGCAGGACAGAGTCCTGACTGTCTAGTGGGGTTGGACCTGGTTCAGCCCAACTGGACAACCATCCTTACTTTGGTGATCCTGCTGTCATTGTCATGGGCCCCTTCCACACAACTGTATAAAATCCACATTGAACTGGATAACATGGCAGTGTGGGCTCAGATAACCCAGTTCAAAGAAGATATTGTGGTATCTGCCTTGATATTCTGGGTTACATGGCTGTGTGGAAGGCTCCTTGGTGACCACAGTCCTCCAAAGAGTTTCTGAACATATCTGAATGCCATTGCTGATGTTTGCAAAGGTGATTGTGTGACTTAAGAGATGTAGGAACAGAAGGGGGTGGTGATCCTCCTCCCCTCCCTAAGTCGCATAAGCGCCCTTGCAAACATTAGCAATGGTGGCAAGATCTTTGGAGAACCAGCCCAATTGGTTACACTAACCTAAAGTGCAGGGCTACTCCAGAGCTTCCAGGAAGCTCCAGAGCATTCACTGACTTTGCCTAACATGAAACAAAAACACATTAAGTATCATGTGGATGCCACAAGGCTGATTCCCATCCTGGGTTATCCTGATCATGTAGTAGTAATGTCCCGTTTCACCAGATGCATTGTTCCCTCAATTAGTTTTCTCAGTTTTCATTAAGATGCTACAAGAGTAATTTGCATTCTGATATCCCAGACTAAAACAGCTATGACAGTGAAGGGACAGTACTTCCCAGTTTTCTATCATTTGGGTTAACTTGAGATTTTACTAACATGCTGTTTCCTCAGACCAGCAGTTATAGCCTAATACTTATAAAAGATACCAAAGCATATGTGCTGTATGTACATCCACACATTTACAAAACATACTCTGCACTTACAGAAAGCACTTTCTCAGAATGGCATAGCACTCCTATTTCTGGCATTGTGTTACTGAAACTTACTTTTATTATCTAGTTGGGCTCGGTATTTATTGAAGCCTTTCAGTCGTACTCTCTGGCCTAGAAGATCAAGGAATTCTTCAAAAGCAGGTCCTGCGGTCTCATTGTTATACATCTCTTCCTCGGTGCTCTGGTCTGATTTGCAATATAGAACTCCAATCTTGTGCTGAAAACTCAGCTAAATTTAGGAAAAACAAGTTAACAGAAGAAATTTTGTCCAAAGACAAGGCCCTTGGCTTTAAAAAGCCTCTTAGAGGAATAATTTACAAATATGACCGTATAAATTTACTTCAGGAGCTACAAAATACCACTTTAGGGATATTGTAGATTTTTTTCGGGCTATATGGCCATGTTCTAGAGGCATTCTCTCCTGACGTTTCGCCTGCATCTATGGCAGGAGAGAATGCCTCTAGAACATGGCCATATAGCCCAAAAAAACCTACAAGCCAGTGATTCTGGCCATGAAAGCCTTCGACAATACTTTAGTGATATTTCAGATATTAAAATGTGACTGCAGGCAGTCCCTGAGTTACAAACATCTGACTTACACATGATTCATAGTTAAGAATGGGGGAGAGGCAACAGGTAGTGAGAGAAATCTATCCCTAGGAAAGGAAATTCACGCCTGTAAGAATTATCATAGGGGAAAGGCTCTCTACTGAAGCTTTATCAGCAATCCTTGTTTCTAAAACAAGCCAAAATGTCAAAATCAAATTATCACTGGGACAAAAAGCAAGGTAGATTCTTCTGAACAGGGCACAGACAGCAAAATAAACACCACAGGGGTGTTAACCCTTCCCAATACTATCCAAAACTAGCACATATACATATATGGTTGGAATTACATTTTAAAATGTACCTGTTCCAACTTACAAAAAAAATCAACTTAAGAACAAACCTATATTGTTTTTAACTGAGATGCTGCCTGTATTGGATGGCTTCAAAATCATGTAGTTTAATGAATTGTGTTAAGAATATTATAAACTGAGATACGATACACAAGCCTACAATGTAATATTATCCACCTTTTGCACTGACATAATGCACATATTGCCAGCAGGAAAAACTGGGCAGCTCATTTTATTCTAATATTTACCCCAATGTTGTTATAAAATGAACCAGCATATGCAACAATATAAGATTCACCCATGCAAGCCCCTAAACAGTTTTATTTTTTTGTTTTGTGTCAAAAGCATTACATAAAATAGTTTATCTAAACTGTGAAACTAAACATTCATTCAGATCCTCAAAACTCATACTCATCTTCAATCTCTTTCGAAAACTCCGGAACGTTTAGCCATGACTGTATAACTTACTCTTGCTTTAGGACTATTATCCATACATTTCCATTCTAAACTTTAGCTTCATGAAGTGTGATTAGTTGCATCACACTCACCGTGCAACAATATAATCCATTATCCACTTACGTAATTTGTTTCCAAATTCATTTTTATTGATGATAATCACTACAGATTTAATCATCACTAATCTGCATATAACCTACTGAGTAACTCAGTAACCTACTGAGCAATAGTAATTAATGATTATTTTCTTGTTACACTTTTTTCCTCCTTTACCTTTTTTTATAACTTTGAGTAATAACAAGACAGATAAATTTTCAAGCTCATACATAAGATTCCTATATCCCCAACTATGAAAGATTCAGTGGATGGTAGAACACAGCATTCTTTGTTTAAACAGTTAGCTTTCTTGCTTTACATATACACTGGACTTAAAATCACATGTGCTAATAATTACCTAGCTTGCTACTCCAAAACAGAAAATATTACTTGAATCAATGAGATTATAATATGAGACATGATATATGTATAGTATATAGAAATGTGCCTAAAAGTGGCCTGTCAATTTATGGTTAACCCTATTAATTTCATATGGTTTTCTTATGCAAAGACTCCTCAGAGTTAATTCTGTAAGTACCATCCTCTGAAATATAGCAAACAGCACTTAATATTCATTGGTGGTCTTCCATCTAAGTAGTAGGTACTAACCAGAGTTGACTTTGCTTAGCTTCCAAGATCAGATGGATTCTGGTATCTGTAGGGGGTGTTTAGATTACAGGTATACACTTACCATACATATGGTAACTGGATAAATGGCTCTAGTTAGAATTAGCAACTGGATTTAGGAACAAACTTGGTCATCCTATAACAGAGGAGACTGATACACAGAGCCCAGCTCAACCATTAATTTCATAAAAGCTGACTGGCCCATAATTGTTTAATACTGTCTGTTAGGATAAAACACTTGGGGATAAAATACTATAGTCCTACATATATTTCCCCAAGAAAAAGGGTGATATATAAATATGATTTGATAAGAAATCTAAAACATGATTTTTCTCAGAAAATCAAATTTGCTCTACCAAATCAACAAATATCACAATTATTCACTCTGAATTTAAAGTATATGTTCACTCCATTGCTCATGCAGTGCTAACTTGTTAGATAGCCTAAATTAGAATTTCAGCTGTTTGAGCCATCAAATGCTCTACATCAGTAGCAAGATTACTGCTGTGAATAAGGTGTGCTAATTATAATTAGAAAAGATGAAAGACTGGGAAGCTGATATTTTCTTCTTTTATGCTACCTGTTGTTCTCCACTGCAAGATGTTTACCTAAAACAGCTTACATGCTATAAAATCCTCTGAGTGCAATGCAAAAACACGAAAAACTTCCTTTTTGTTAAAAGTTACCGAGCACTCTCATTTTCATATCATATATTGAAAATATTTCATTCAGCAAACATATCAGATCACATATTCATTCACATTTTTGAAAGCAACTTCTTATAAGACAATACACAACACACAAATTCGAGGAGGGAGGGGATACCTACCCCTTGTTCATCCAGTTTAAGCAGCTGTTCAAACACTTTCGGTGAGTTGGAAGCTTGCCTTAGGCACTGGATGCTCAATTCTGGTATTACATATTCCAGTACCTCTTTAAGAGGTAAGCCCCTTGCTGTGCCATGTCTAGCAGTAGATGGAATTGCATCTTCTAAAATGGCTCCTCTCAATGTTGTAAGCTAAAGTGAGAGTAGTAGTTTTACTTTTACAGTCTTCAGTAAGTTTAAAAAAGGTTCACACTCATTTTTGAGATGTTTTGTAAAAGTTCAAAAAAGTAACTTCTAATTATAAATAAGCACACTAAAAAGGAATTAAAAATACCCAGGTTTTAACCATTCAAGCCACAACACAGCACTGCTAAGGAGCATATCACTTCCCAAATGGCCTCAATTCATGTTTGTTTGTTTATTTAACTATACTTATATGTTGCTCTCTCTCACTCCAAGGGGGACTAAAAAAAAAGCTGTTGCCTGCCTCCCTAACACACTATGCCTGCACTGTTTGGTGCATTACATTTGATGACAAATTCATTTGTTGTAATGTGCACCTTCAAAATTGAGGTATGCATTATATTTGATGGTATGTTATACATGAGCAAATATGGTATTTCCCAATTTCTATGTTTTACATAAATATACAAATGACAACAGCAAACCATCTGGGAAATGTGGCTTTAATTCTTTGTGTATTGGTCGGTGCAAGACTTCACAATGACATATTTTACCATGAACACAGGCTTAGCTTTTTTGGGGTAAATTAGCTTGTTGTGTTTTAAATCAGGCAACCTTAAACTGCGTCCCTACAGCTGTTTGGGCCTCCAACTCCCAGAAGCCCTAACAAGCTTGTTCAATTGTTAGGAATTCTGGGAATTGAAGGCCCGAGCAGCTGGAGGGCCACAGTTTGAGGATGTCTGCTTTAAATGATATCTATACATTTTAGTTAAGCAGCTAGAAATCCCAATTATCATAGGAAGTTATTATAGATTTAAGTTATATTCTTATAAAAACACTATATTTCCCAACCATTTTTCTCACAATTCTCAAATTTCTTCTTTCAAAGCCATCTTCCTCTTAAATTCTATTCCAAAAACAGATTAAGACTTTTGTAATCCTCTTCTCTCAAGCATCTGTAGCCATATTTATCTTCTGTCTATGCACTCTCAGGCTCACCATCTGTTTATCTTTGAAAAGTGCAACCATTTTTACTAAGTACAATCTGTAGTAGGTTACTACTAAGGGGGAAATAAATATCTATAATTACAGCTGCTAAATTCTGCATGTTTTGATTCTTTGAGAGCCACCTCATTCTATCTACAAACCACGAGCTCATCTAAAAATCACAGATACAAAAAACAAGATCACAACCTTCACATCCTTACATTCTAATTTTTTTTTACTGAACTTAATAGAACTTATTTCCAAGTAAACGTGCAGGTTTGTGTCATAAGCATTTTTCTTAACTCATAAAATTGTAAAGACGCCAGACAAACCGAAAGTGAGACACACAATGAAACAAAATGGAAATTTGTTATAGAACTGATAATTCATTGAAAATAAATGGTACAGAAAGGCATGGGATCTCTAGAAGACTGAAAAAAACTAGTGGAATATAGAAATGGCAGCAAGATATAGCAGTAACATTCACAAAGTTACTTAAATAACGTCACAGGTAAAACTGGATTCTAAAACTGGCCATTCCTCCTCCAGTTACAGAACCATTAAAAAACACAAGATTATATTGCATAATATGGGGAAGAGATTCAAAAATTACAGGTCATTTGGGGGTGATGAAGTAGTTGGAAATTTGTTAACAAGAGATATACACATCTGACATTTCTCCATGTTCTGCCTTCTCCAAAAAAAGAATTCACTGTCAAACTTTTGTATAAATTTTGAAGTATCTATGTTGATCTATTAACAAAAATAGGTTGTTTGAAAAATCATACACAAGGACTCATCTGTCCAAACTGACCTTACTCTTTGTTATCTGTATTGACAAAAACATACTGCATAAACTGTTCAACTGCAAATACATTTTGCAAAGATTCTCATGAATCATAGTGACTGGGGAAAGTGGCCCTGATGTAATGACTATATTTTGGTCCTTGTGTTCCTGGAAACATGTAGAGATTGCTCAGATGACACACAAAATACTGCACAAGTTTGCACTCTAATTTAATCATACATCTTAGTCACATTAATGTCTAAATGTGAAATGAACAAAAATCTAGCACTATTATTGTTAAACTGGAGGAGAATAAATTTGGAGTAATAAGTGTTTTTGCATTGTTTTGTACTGCATAAATGACCCTCATAACTTGATTCTGCACACTGGACATGGGGAAGAAATGTGTGACTTTTTATTTCTACCCTTTTTACTTGACAGTGCGTCCTCATTCTGGGCTTTCAGAAAGATGGAGTGGGGATGCATGTTTCCAGGTATTCAGATTAAAATTGACAGAGAAAGAGTTACTGTTAATCATCACTTGTGCAGACAATCGAGAATGATTCCTTTTCTAGACAGTGCCTACATGTGGTTCCACATGCAATAATAAAAATCTAATCAAAATAACTGTAAAATTATTATTTATCTTCTATTATCTTAATTCTGGAAAAGTGCAGAAACCCTACCTCACTTGTTCTGAACACTACACGATAGTTGAACTGTGAACCTTCTTTTTCTTTTACATCTTCAAACTTCTCCCTCCGGATACTGACTGCTACTGGTCCTAAATGTTCATCTAGTCCAAAGTAGTTTTGATGCTCTGTAGTACATAAATGGAAGGCAATAATGAAATATTAGACTGACAAATGCTGCCTTATTATGTCAGTGTCAATGGTTGAGATTAGACACCCCCTCCTTCCCACTTGTCTTATACTTTCATTCTACCTGATGAGCAGGCGAGATAATCAAATCTAAGTCTTATCAGGTCAGGATATCTGTTCAACACAGACTTTTAATTAATAAGACAACGAATTTAACAAATAAGAAAAAAAATACTAAAGGGCTGTTTCCAGTGCAAAGAACACAATTGTTACATTAGGTCAATAAGAAAATTTAAATGTAGTAAAAATGGCGTAACAAGACTTCAAACTTCCAAAATTTAATATTTCACTAAAATCCCAATTTTTACCAACTGAGTCCAGTTAAATAATACACTTAGCATTAAGGAATATTAGACCCAGGGATTTTGTTCTTGAATACCAGAAACGAATAGAATAAAACAACCAATCTTTCTATAGAAAAGTCCACTCCTAGTTATTCCAAGATTTTGTTTTATTTCATCAATATTATTTAGTGCATCAGGGTAGATATTTTGGTAAACAACTGTAATTCCCCCCTCTATTGCAAATCACCCAGAGATCTACCAACAGACCCTGATTTTCCTTCTCACTTTCTCTTACAAAAGAATAATATGCAACAATTCCTATAAGACTGACATTCCTTTATATATTGACATACCTAGATATGTGACAATATCTGGAAGGAAAATATATAGCGTTTTACACTGTTTTCATCCCAGTCCATTTTAAATCCAAAGGTTTCCTTAACTACTCATAGAAACAATTGTTCCAATCTTAGTAATCTCTGCAATTTAGCAATATTATGCAACACAACTTTTTTCCAGATGTCTAACAACATGTTTGCAAATATGTTATCTATCACCTCTCCACTAAGCAGCCATGTAATGACCTTTCTTTAATCATAGAATCATAGAATAATAGAGTAAAATAGAATAAAAGAGAGCACATGGACCATCTAGTCCAACTCCGTGCCATACAGGAAAAGCACAATTATATAAATCAGTCTGATTATTTTAATCATGCTATTCATGTGTTCACTGAATTGGTGGAAGGAGGAGACACAAGTGAAAACCTATTGCCCCTTCCCCTCCTCCCTATTCTTCTCTAAGGCTATTTCAATATATGTACGGATTCCTCCCACCACCACCTTTTGCTTTAGAAAGGATTTCAAGAGCATGCTTTCTATCTGTTTTAGGAAACAGATCCAAAGTCTGCAGAGAACTCACAGGTTGTAGTGTAAGTGTTACTCTAGTGCATGAGAGATGAGAACACAAAAGAATGACACACCACCAGATGTTCCTGAGAAAGTCTGTAGAAAATATAATCAGTATATTCGTCATAGGAGGCATGTTTCACTGAAAAGGACCAGACATCTTGGTTTGGGTGTGAATCCTTTAAATCCAAATCCATATTGGGATATATGTGCTCTAACAAAATACCTATTGTGAGGCTGGTGTAGACATTCCTTCCCACTTCAATGAATATCAGGAGAAACAGTGAGGACTACATAATTTCTTCTTCCATTCAGTATGGTAGAAGTGCTCTACTCACTGCTTTGTTTCATCCTACTCACTTTGTTTTTAGTTTCAATTATGTATTGTTATAACCTAAATCCAATTGTTAATCCCAACAAGAATATACTCACTGAATCAAATGGATCCTGGTAAATCAGCCTCTATGTAAGTCAATGATTTAATGGTTATATTCCAATTTTGACCAGAAACATGAGTTAAACTTGTGTTGCAACTTTACAATTTGTTATTAGCACATTTTAAAGAACTGTGTAAAATAAATAATTTACATAAACTGTGGAAATATTTACTGACTATTCTATTCCCTTGCTACTTATACTTTTGTCAAATCTTTTCTTCTTTGATCAATCCTAAAAATCTCGTGTGTATTGTTTTCATCATTTAGAGATCAAACATTCAACAAGGCGAGTCCTCAGTTAAATTGTAGGGTTTCTTTTGTCAAAATAAATCCTTTATTGACTGGCATAAAAACAGCAGGAATATGGCTGTAAAAGCCATTTTCATTAAGAGGTATACTGTCCTGCCAGGCTATGCCTCTTTATCTTCTGTGGGTAACAGCCGCACTGCTGCTTGCCCTGTCACTGTAGTGCCCATGGCCTTTTCCTCTGCCACTATGCTACCTCTTTTACCCAGGATCTTGCTCGCTGACTATAGTTTTGTTTCAGGAGACACTGCTTGAAGTGGTAGAAGATAAACTATTATGACGGATTAGTAGTTAACCAAAAAACTGATGTGTACTTTAAGAAAAAGCCTGGCCGCTTCCACTGACCCTCAAAGTTTCCAAGATAGCAACTTGAGAATTCACAGGAAGAATTCCATATTATTATTATTATTATTATTATTATTAACTTTATTTGTACCCCGCGAGCATCTCCCGAAGGACTCGATGCGGCTTACACAGGCCGAAGCCACAAAACACAATACAATAGAAAACATAACATAGCAATAACAAAGCAAATCAACAATTAAGCAAAACAGCAATGACAATACATCAAGACATATTAAAACTGGTTCGGCCGGCGTAAAGGGGTACAGGGTTAAAAGTGCTGAAATGGCAGGAGGGGCGTAGGAATTAAAAGTGCGGTGTGCAGCGATGTTAATTGTGCTAAAGTGCTACTAGGACTTGGGATGGGGATTCCTAATCCGAGAAGGCACAACGGAACAGCCAAGTTTTCAAATTCCTTCTGAAAACTGCTAATGTAGGGGCCTGTCGGAGATCTTTTGGAAGGGCGTTCCAGAGTCGGGGGGCCGCCACGGAGAAGGCCCTGTCCCGTGTCCCCACCAAGTGCGCTTGCGACGTAGGTGGGATCACGAGCAGGGCCTCCCCAGATGATCGAAGCGAGTGTGTGGGTTCGTAGATGGAGATGCGGTCACGCAGGTAGGGTGGTCCCAAACCGTTTAGGGCTTTGTAGGTGAGCACCTGCACCTTGAATTGGGCTCGGAAAATAAATGGCAGCCAGTGGAGCTCCTTAAACAGAGGGGTAGACCTCTCTTGATAATGAGCTCCAGTTAGCATCCTGGCTGCTGCCCGCTGGACCAATTGCAGTTTCCGAGCCGTCTTCAAGGGCAGCCCCACGTAGAGCGCATTGCAGTAATCCATTCTAGAGGTGACCAAGGCGTGGACCACCCCGGCCAGATCAGCCTTCACGAGGTATGGTCGCAGTTGGCGCACAAGTCTCAGTTGTGCAAAGGCCCTCCCGGACACCGCCGACACCTGAGCCTCAAGTGTAAGCGAAGAATCCAAGAGGACACCCAAACTGCGGACCTGTGGCTTCAGGGGGAGTGTAACCCCGTCCAACACAGGTGACCACCCTATACCCCGATCCGGTTTACGATCGACCAGGAGGACCTCTGTCTTATCGGGATTGATCTTCAGCTTGTTCCTCCTCATCCAGATCGACACAGCGGCCAGACACTCGTCTAGCACCTGAGAAGCCTCCTTGGAATTTGGTGGAAAAGAGTAGTAGAGTTGTGTGTCATCTGCGTAGAGATGGCACCCAACTCCAAAACTCCGGATGACCTCTCCCAGCGGTTTCATGTAGATGTTAAAAAGCATGGGAGACAAAATAGAGCCTTGCGGGACCCCACAGGTCAAAGGCCAGGGGTCAGAGCAGGCGTCTCCCAGCTTCACCATCTGAGTTCGTCCCTCCAGGAAGGACTGGAGCCACGACAGAACCGTGCCCCCAAGGCCCATCCCAGAGAGACGACCCAGAAGGATACCATGATCGATGGTATCGAAAGCCGCTGAGATGTCCAAGAGAACCAGCAGAGTCACACTCCCCCTGTCCAGCTCTCTGCGGAGGTCATCCACCAAGGCGACCAAGGCTGTCTCGGTGCCATGACCAGGCCTGAAACCAGACTGTGACTGATCTAGGTAGTTGGTATCGTCTAGGAAACTCTGGAGCTGGGAGGCGACCACCCGCTCCAGCACCTTACCCAAAAAGGGGAGGTTGGAGATCAGTCTGTAGTTACTCAGCACCGTGGAGTCAAGGGAAGCTTTTTTGAGGAGTGGGCGAACCACAGCCTGTTTCAAATTAGATGGAAAAATTCCTTGCTCCAACGATGCATTGACAATCAGTACAAACCAATCAACCAACCCCTCCCTGGCTGATTTAATGAGCCAAGATGGGCACGGGTCTAGAGATGAGGTGGTCGCCCTCACAGCCCCAAGAATCTCCTCAACGGTTTCAGGAAGAACAAGCCTAAAAGAATCCCACAAGATTGGACAAGCAGGTGCCTCCGTCACCTCTTCTGGCACTGCGATGGAATTGGAGTCGAGCTCAAGACGTATCTGGGCGACTTTACCTGCAAAATGGTGTGCGAAATCGCGACACCGAGCTGCAGGGTCATCAGCGACCTCCTCCGCCACAGGTGGGTGGAGGAGTTCTCCCACGACCCGGAACAGCTCCGATGATCTATTTGCTGCAGATGCTATACGGGTGGTCGTGAATGATTTCCTGGCCACCCGTATAGCCACAGAGTAAGCCTTAAGGGAGGCTTTAGCCCGTGCTCGATCAGATACATCTCGAGATTTCCTCCATTTGCGCTCTAGCCCCCTTCTCGTATGCTTCATCACAGCCAGCTCCTCGGTGAACCAAGGAGATGGCCTGTCACGACGCAACGAGATGGGACGTTCAGGTGCGATCGTATCTAACGCCCTGGACATCTCCCCATTATAGAGAGCTACCAAGGCGTCGATAGAATCGCCAGGCTCCAGGGCAGGAAGAACCCTAAGATTCCTCAGGAATCCATCCGGATCCATCAGTCTCCTAGGGCGGACCATCTTAATTTGTCCTCCACCCCTGCGGAGGTTAAGGTCGCAGCAAGTCTAAAAGTGATCAGATGATGGTCAGACCATGACACTGGAAGGATGTTTTGATCTTCCACTCTGATCATTTCGTTGTCCGCCACAAAGACAAGGTCGAGAG